AAAATACTCCAAGGATCTTTGTTTTATTAAACTAATCTCTTTTATTCTCTATGTATCATACAAAAAAGAATAAAACAATATTTTGGCTTGTAATAAATGCCAATGACATGAAGAAAGTCTGTGTAATTGTTTGTCGTATGAGAAAAGTATGTGATGTTACAGGTTGTAGATAAACAAGAAGTTAACAATATGGACAACGATAATGTGTTTGTAGCCAATGAAGAAGACGCCCACACACACACCCTTTTAAATATTGTTGTTGTATTTAAAACACTCAAAATTGATGCAAGACAGATCAAATCACATCCACAACTGTATTCTTGAAGAGCGGCAAATGAAATCAAAATTATTGATTATGATAATATTCAAAAAATATCGTTAATCTTTTTCTAACACCAAGATTTTCTTTAATTTATGACCAATTAAAACAATTAAATAAGAAAATTGATCAACGTTTCGTTGATAGAATACCAAAAATTGTATTTTCTCAAAAAACTAATACAGTATTTACCGTCTCAACAACTGGTTTTGATGATCATCATAAAACATTTAAAGATATTTTAAAACGATTAGTTGATTTATATAACACAAGTGAACGAGCTAAAGAATATTATCAATGATATTTAAATAGAATCTTAAGAGAAATTAATCAAACACTTGAACAAGTTAAATCAAGAACACAAAAAATTGGAAACAATATTCACAATTTCTATCAGGCTTATTAAAACAAAAGTCGATTGAATATTCAAATCAATTTAATGTCGCTATTGAAAAATTCATTTTTGAACTAAGTGAAAAACTAATTCAAGATAAATCCTTATCATCATGGAATCAAATACAAAACTATACAGAACAATTTATAAAAGACAACATCTTTGAAAATCAAATTGAACAACTTAAACACCAAGCACTCGAACAATTTATTACATAAAATATTTCATTTCAAAGATTAATTATGAATAAAAAGTCAACGAATAAATCAATTACGGTTTTAAAAAATTTTATCGATAAAATTTCGTATGTATACTCATGTTGCTACAAGATTCGTCTGATATTCTGACGAAACTTTTCTTTTGTTACTTTTCAGATGATTTCTTAGGATATAATTGAGCTGGGATGAAGGAAGAATACATTTGAATTTATTTAAGCTTAGAGGTGCAAAAAATTGCTGATATATTTTGGGTGAATAAATTACTTCATATGTTGAATAACTGTTATTCTCCTTTGAGAAACGGTATAAGAGCATAGGTGACTATTATTATTTATTGATTACTAATGTGATAAGAGTTGTTCTATGGCATATGGCGTCTTGAGAAAATCAGCTACTTCTAGAGATGTTAGATATTACTACTTATGAAATCAGTAGTAACGTTGATCATGTTTTATTGAATTCGTATCGCTGAAAAATGAAACTTCAGGAGTAAACACAATTTTAATAAAACGAAAAGATAATTTAATATCGCTGTGAATACCCTAGAATCTGATGAATATCCGAATATGTTTGCTGCCTTTCTATTGAATACATATTTTTCACGAAAATATATGGTTTTCATGCAACTGAACAATAAATAGATGTATCATTGATTTGCTCAGTAAACTATATTCATGATAACCTGTTTTATTCTATGATCACTATAGAACAGAAGAGATGAGATAATGAAGTCAAATAATTCTTCTGATTATTTAGTTTGACGAAAAATTGAACAACATGATACTTTCAGAAAAAGACTTGAATTATTTTTGGGTGTGTGTGTGTGGATGAGAGCTGGGTCTGAAGTGAAGACCAACACACCCACACCCTCCGAGAATGATTCGAAACAATGCTCATACTCTACGGGGGTCTTATTGTTCCAAACAATGATCCATCCAAATCCTTGTCGACTAAATATACTTCGGAATTCTATTGATTCTGGCCCATTCGACAAAGAATCCAATTTCAACCACATGTTGCTATACTTCTTAATGCACCAGATATGAAATTGATTTAAAATGAAACTAATGATATTATTCTTGGAATCGACGAAGAAGAACTGTCGACTTCCCTTACAACTGTTTCGCATATCAAATTCATCACAACAATCAAAGAATATAGATGCAAGAAATGATAAATATAGTGAATGGACAATTTATAAATCGAAACTAGTCTATTTAGATTGCTGCACTTTTTTCTAGAGAGAGCCGATCATCCAAGTGAATTATTGATAGCATCTAGCCTACATGTATTAGCGATACCTTGTTTCTCGAAAAACAAATTCGCCTTTTTCACTTTGTTCTTCGTCATTTTCGAATGAATTGTTTATAAAAATCTAAAGGTAAACGTTTTCACTTGAATAATATAACTCATCTAGGTCATAAGTAGAATTGAAGAAAAATAAAAATTTGTTGCTTTTAATGCAAAAAGCTTCAGAAAAACTATGACGCGTTATGAATGTAGAAATACACATCGATAAAGGTTACTTAACGCTCAAATGCGCATACTATTAGGTTATATTACATGAATATCCATGGCATAAAAGAAACACCAAGTTAATTAGGTTTAAGTTATATAAAGTGACTATTTTTCATTATACCCCACTGTTTCATATCATGCAAATGAGTAATCGAAGGAAGAGAGGAAATTTTATAGAAAAATTCATGCAAGATTCAAAATAATATCTATCTTTTATGTCTTGTCGCCATAAAAGGAAAATATAGTTACAATTTATCAAGCAACTTCAGTGGACTGAGAAAATTTGTATGAATGATAAATTGATGAAATATCGTGTATTGACGTGAGCGCTTGTACGAAACTAGTAGCCTAAAAGCTGGTTGAAGTTACGAAATTTGTTTCGAAACAATGTTGTTGACCATTGTTTTCTGAAAAAGTGAGGAATTGAAGAAGTTTGGTCCCAATGGGCAAAGCCTCCATATACAACATGACAGTGATCTGAATGTTATGGGTGTGATAGTTCATCTTTATAGGTCATCATTTTGATTCCAGCTTGATATATTATAAAGAATCTAATCGTTACTTACTTTTATAGTTCTGTAAGAGAACAACAAACTCTAGTTCAAATAATTTAATGTGACTTTGAGGTTGATAAGAATAGAAATTACAAATGACGCATTTCTATATTCTTTGTGTCTGCAAAATTGTAACGAGACTGAAGAAAGGTAAATTGTGTGTCTAGCACGTCATACAAGTGAGAATGACGAAAAGCTTTCGCAATTACTAGAAATTACATTGAATAAAATCAATCATTTGAATGTTTCATCAAAATATGACACATTGTCGATAATTGCATTATCTGCAGATTTGAATAATACTTTGATTTGAGGTACTATTTAGCATAAAAATCATTTCTGCCTCAAATCATCGTCTTGCTTTGCTCTTTCGCTTGCATTTAAGGCGTCATTTTGCAATTTTCTTCCCAAGAACCAGCCAAGATAGTACCTAGAGTCACCGCTGCAGTACACTTGAAGATTTGTTTGGGTCCACCGCGATGACGTTTTCAAATGCAACAAGAATGACCATCTGAAATAGAGAAACACTTAGTACTTCTCCGTCACATGATTTAGGGTACATTTCGTGATTTTGAACTCCGTTATAAGTCACGAGATCAAGATGATAAGATACACTCGTAGTTAGAACGAAAAATATTAAAATGAGTGTTACTAATGTCACATTCTGAACTCCTCCATTTTGTCACGTTGGTGTCTCTGTTGATTTCGGTTTTATTTTTACAAAACAAATATAATCACACTCGCATCCTAAACTCTGACTTTTGTCATTCGGGTGGACCGATAGATTTTGACTTGTTTCAGAGGTTATCAACCCACACATCTCTTCATATAATAACATGGCTGAGCTAGTATTCGCCACGCGCAAATATATTAGATTTCTTGTCTTTGAAACGATCTAAACCAAATATATCATTGCAATGAGACTCATGTATGATCGATTCTATTGTTCATTTTCTTTGTGCTATAGCAACCACTGTATTTCATTTTCACAAATGAATCGATCAAACCATTAAGAATATTGGTTTTTAGAAACGCTAAAATCATGTTATTATTACTCCATTGTCTCATATAATTACGTGTGATAGAAGAAAAGTCTGCTTCATTTAGCTGTAGTTAGATGTTCTGTGAAAAATTGAATAGTTCCAACTGTGAATAAGTGCTTCACACTTAATCATGAAGAGATATAGAAAAACAAATGTATAATATTGTTTCAAATACAATCGATGGAATCAGCAAACGCCTAAAATAATAGCTGATAAAGTTGGATCTTTCTGTTATTATTTTCGCTTATTCGAAATGAGAATACGAGCAAGTGAAGGTGTGAAAGATTTATTTAAAATATTCAAAATTATAAGAAAAATTCTGAATTTCAATCAGTCTAAAGGTATGTGTTTTTATAAATTATAGTCTTGACCATCTTTTTATTTAATTTCATAGTTTAACACACCACCTAATATAAAAACTTCTCAATTATCGGAGCTTCTCGTTGTTTCGAATTTAGGCCGGGCTTCTGAGGACATCTTGACACGTTCTATGGCCTTCATCATCCATTCCGCACCATTCATGAGCTATTGTAAAGAAAATTATCTTACATGGTTTTAAAAATATAATCAATTATGAAAGATACGTGTTGTGTTCGTTCGCCCAGCATAGCGATATCCTTTTGCATTCGCTCAATTAAATCCCTATAAATGAATCAGCTATTAAAAAGCCAATTGAACGTTGAAATCTTGGAACCTACGGTGATATATCGGGTGGTTGACGTGATCGATATTTGTTTTCGACAAGGTTTCGAGCATACTCGTACGTAGCTGCAGCCTCAAAATCTGTCCATTGGATGTCCAATGTTTTTGTAGCAAGACGTTCTAGAAATGAATCCTATAGACTTTACGAATAACTTAATTGGCTACTTACTAAATATTCGATAGCGTGTCTGACGATTACGTTTCAAAAATCTGATGAATAAGAATATGTACACAAGAAGTGAAAATGGCGGATAAGTGAATGATGGCTTTTCAAAATATTCACGGACCAATTCATATCTTTGATAGCGCCAAACATATTCGTTCTTCTCTTGAACGTCCATAATAGAAAAACTAAACAATATGCATATTATTGTTTTTGTAAAAATAAAACAATGAGAGTACGCTGTAGCCGTACTTGAACATGGCAATTAGCAGATTGAGAATAAGAATACTGACAAAAAGCATATGAAAAGCTAGAAGAACGTGAGTGACTTTCGCTCCAGCGATTTCACCAGCGGAACTTGTATTTGACGAAATTATGGCTATAAAATGGAATATAAACAAGTGTTTTCATCTACTATGACAAAGAAAAACGCATTTACTATCAAGTGTATCTTTATCATCAACCGCCCCATATAAGAACCAGTAAGGTGGATACAAAATAGAAGCTGCAATGTCATTTGCAGTAAAGTCGAGATTTGAGTACATGACTAGTGCTCTTGAAGCAACACCATAAGCAGTGATGCACACAAAAATAATATATATAATACCGAAGAGATCGCGTAACTGCAATTTTTAATTTATAAAAATAAAGAGAAGCAATTCATCAAATTTACTACCATATTACGGATCATGAACAGTTTGGGTCCCAGAATTTTGACAGCACTGACGAAGCGCAACGAAAAGAGAAACCAAATTTCAAGATCAAGCGCCAACACAATCCTAATTCGAGCTTTTATTTAAATCATTGCTAGAACGATGGTCAAAACTCACAAACCTAGCTGCAGTGAACAAATCAATTTCATCAGCTGAACCGAATTGAATTCCAATGCCAACGTAGAACAAAAGATAGGGTGCTGCATACAGAATCAACATCCACAAGTCTGCTTTGTGCCATCGTTCAAGCATTCGTGTTTGATATTCAACAGTGAGCTAGACATTTAATAAATAAAATAACCACTTCTTTCGTCTTGAGATATCCAATTGAAAAGCTGTTAGTGTATACCCTTATGGGGTTAAAACTGTGAAATACTTTACATTCGCTACAGTTGATAGTACGGAGATAGTTTGTAGAGTAAAATTTTTGTTGATTTCGTAAGATATTTTGTTTGTCATAGTCTGTGGGACTGGGTGAAAATTTCTACCCTGCACACTTCAACACTCCTCTTACATCGTATTTCACAAAATAGCTTATAGACAGAAAAACTGTTTTTACATGTGTAGTTATTACGTACTCTTCGAATATCTTCAATGAGGGTTGCTGATATGGTCACAATCACATATATTTCAGTCCAATGAACTGGATCAGACAAAGATCGCATGTGAAATAGCATCCAATAGCTGAATACCAATAGAAACCATATATAGAAAAACTGAAATATTATGAATAAGACTACAAAAAAGACTTTAATTTCAAACTCACGAATTGATAACTCATCATCACGACAGGACTTTTATGAAATTGCATCCATTTATGCCAATAATTGGTTGCTTCACTGTTTGTAAGCTGATCTTCTATGCCGTCAACATCTCTAAAAGTGCATATTTCTTTAAAATAGCGAAAACTACTTCATTCAGAGTGTTATCATTCTTTTAAAACGAGTACATAGATATAGTATGGTGACCTTCTTGTAACAATATATGGGTTTTTGGAAATCAAAAGTCTGTCGAAAATTATAGAAATTTTCGTGATTTTTTGTTTTTAGATATCTACGAAAAGCTTCCTGGTAATAACGAAAGAACTACTCAGTTGAAGCTTGAGAACTGACTCAGATCAAAACACAATATACCTGACAATATTCTTGTGTTGATTGGCATCATTTTGTTTATTTTGAGGTGCAGTCCCGTCTTGAACATAATCATATCCTTCATTCTAGTATGTGAAAAAAATCAAGGCATTTAGGACATCATACAAAATGGACAAGCAAATAAATAAATGATAAAAAGACCTAGAAGTCAGTATCATTAGCCACGACTGGTGACCGAAAATAATCATTCGAACGTTGAACAACTTGATAAAACGGAAAACTTTTTCTCATTTTTTTAATAGTAAAAAATTCCGTCGCTACATGAAAATTATATCTAGCAGTTTCAAAAAATATTTTTAAAATCAGGAGTAATATTATAAAATAACAAATGATAGAAATCGGAAAAATAAAAGCTCTTCTCTCTTATCGAAAAGTCCACTAGTATCAAACTTGAAACTTGAATTTAACTGACATCTACAATTAGTTTGTAGTACAATACCAGAAACAATTAGTTTCGGGTTAAATGTTTTCAGAGATTTTCTGGATAGAACCTCGAGGAAAAGTCACAGATTCCTTGAATGTGAGTTTAGAGCTCAATATATTTATATACTTATCTGAAAGCAACTAAAAAATTTCTTATCTTATCTTATCATAATAAGGTCACTATGATTGGCTGAAGAAAATGGTGAGACTTTCTTTTAGTGTTGAAGCCTATTTTCAAATAGTCACAGCATGATAGTCATGACCGTATCGTTTTAATTGCGATTTAATAATGTGGCTCATTATTTTAAAACAAATCAGGCTAATTGGAGTAGCAAGAAAGTCATCATTTCTGTTGAAATCAATTGATTTTTCGAAAGTGGCCGCTGTTATTAGCGTGACAATTATAGTTGTGGTAAACATTCTTGAAGCGCACACTAGTAAGTCATAGTTTGATTTTTCAGCTGCCTTAAATAATATCAGTGAGTGATATTTTTGCCAAACATATGTAATATTGACACCTAGGTGAGTTTCAAGGCAAAACAGATTTCCTTATTAGATCCATAAAGGTAACTGATGGTACAGATTGAGCGAGAAATCTTTAACTCCTAAAAGGCATTGCTTACCTTCAGTCTGACAGTATTGATTTAGAGTCATCACACTTGAAAGAATGTATCAAGATCCAACACGCTTACTTATCAAAATGTTGGGATCTTGAATTTAGACATCTAGAACTTTTCTTTTCAGAGCGTTTTTGTGATAGGTGGATGCTAGATATGTTTTAGATCTCGATATGATATATAAAATTGGGCAATCGGGATAAAGTTGAGCTTTTCTTCATTCCACTTTAAAGGAATATGCGGAGATCTTTTACATGACTCAATGGTAACTCTACCTATGGCAGTATATGGCAAGATTATGTCAAAAATTGTCTTATATTTATCAATGAAAAAATATAAAGAGAGCTACAATCTTTATAGATTGTTTAGTCGTATATATATATATCATATTGAAATGTAAGATACACTCGACATTAGGCTATCACAATGTACATCTGGCTTTCACGAAATTTCTCTTCACGGAAAAGCATTACCTATCAAAATTCAAGATTCTAAACTTTTGAGAACTGCTTTTAATTGTAATGTATCTCCTTATAATCTTTTCATTAAATTTTTATTATTAGAATTGCCCAAACGATAGATATTTGTTGATAAAGCATCTAGACTAGATTTACATATGATGCTAAGAAATTAAAGTTTTTGATTGATTAGTGTGCTTTTTTAAGAGCAGAGCAGTAGCTCAAATACCCATAATTGTAGCAACGCTAAATTTTGAAAGAGCAAATTAGTTTCAGTTGACACTTGAAAATTATTATTATCTCACTCACTGTTGCCGAAAGCAAAAATCAGAACTGAGTCCGTAAATCTCGTCTGATGAGCATTTTAATGTAACCGATTTTATTTCTTCTATAATGCTTCTTGAAAATGAGTGATTCCAAGAACCTATGAAAAACGGTTTCTCCAGTATCTTGACCTATTTTCAAAGGCAGATGTCTACTTATTTATTCAAAATTGTTCACTATATGCTATAAAAGAAATCATAGGACAAACCGTTTCATTTTTTCCGTCAGCTAAGCGATAGGGAAAAGATATTGGAGCAATGAAACCGAATAGCACCAGTTGGATGTTAAGATTGAACGAGGCCGACACTGTTTTAATTGAAGCCCCATCTAATTGTCCATACCACTGCCGATTGAGAACTTCATCGAAACAAACTGTGTTAATAAAAGGAATGATGCGAGATGCAATGGCTATCTAGCAATAAGTAGAAATTACTTCATTCAGTAAATAGGAAAGCCTCTAACTTACTTGCATGCAAGTGATATTTCCGAAGAGAGGGATTTCACGTAGCAACAGTTGGCAAGCTAATTGTTCATTTCGTTTATAGCAAGCGTCAATGCACTCTGTAGCATACTGTTCATATATAACTCGGTGTTCTTTGTATGTATTTCGTATTTGTAGATTACTGCAAATTGATGACAAATGATGAGCCATCCCAACAGCAATCAGTGCTGCACAAACGCGTGGTCTGATCTGGAGCAACAGAACCAATGCTACATCTACATAGCCTGAGTAAACACTCCAGAGAAAAATGTCCCGCAAGATTTCTTGCTCTCCATAACGACTAACACGAACATGACCTGCGTACCACCAAAAATATGGTAATTTGATAAATAGTATGCATGATTTTACCTGTACTAGCTTGTTCTTGTTCGACACGATTCGGCACGCACTGACAATAATTATGACAAGAAAAAAACATTGAAAAATCTGTTTTAAACCGCTGCCACCCATTTTTCTCGTCATAAAAAGATTGAATGAACGGCCCAATCAACCTTGTGTAGTTTTCTTCGAGATCTTCTATAGAACCGGGAAGACGCCACTGCTATAATAATAATATACGTAGATACGAGTTGATGATTCATCACTGATAGGAATATCAATTAAAATATACTTTGGCAGGGGATTCTGTGAGGCTTTTATAAAGAACTTCGATGATAAATTGGATTGATGATTCCACGCATACTTTTTTATTACCATCGACGATTGGTTTGTTTCCTATAAGAAATCGTACTAGATTAATAATTCAACGATTTTTTAGAGCTTTTCAGCTATGATTACCATTTGTTCTATTTATGCTGAATTCAACTGTATCTAGTGGATTATAGTAACGACGCAAAAAATAATCGACGAAAATCGGTCGATTTTCTTTTAGAGCCTGTTCAAACAATCCAGGGTAGTATTTTCGAGCGTTCTATTATGCAGATCGATATGAATTAATCGACGTGTGTAAGAAAACAATTTTCTTTTTATAAATACTTCATAATGTTTGAAAACATCATAGTCTTCACCTATACAATTCCACCTCACAGCTAACTTCAACAAATCAGGTGGTTCGTCAGGTTTAAATTGAGTTCGATCTTGATCTTGAGACTGAGGTTCTGTTTTAGCTGAAAAAGCCAAATTTTGGTTGATTTATGTTGATTAAAGTTTCCGCACATTCTTACTGTTTAGGACTGCTTTAAAAATTGTGTTCGTAAGATTCATGTCGTTTCCAAGCTGAAAAACACTTAGGCAGCATCGATGTTGAACTTCTAGCACTTTTTCTATGGCTTTAATCATCTCATTTTGCTCTTTTTCTGTTGAAGGACACAATTCTTTACAACGTTCAAGGTGTTGTTTTATTTTGCGTTCTCTGAAATGATGTACAAACTTGACTACTTTGAAATAAGATGCACACACTATTACCCTACGGGATTGTTTTCTTCCACGTTTAGAAGCAGATCGCCGAGCAGATTGGCTAAACGGCCACTCCCGTGAACGATGATTACTGGTCGCTTGGCCTCCAGATCGTTCTGAATTACCTCAAGTGTATTGAATCCACCTTCCACAATGATCGTGACAGAATAGCACTCCGTTTTCTTGCGTGCTATCTGAACAAAAGTGCTCCGGGGACGATCATCAAGATAATTTTTTATACGATTGTCATCAAGATAATCGTTGACACGGCCGTCATCTAGCAACAGAAAGTGCGTATGGTAATTATCAAGAGCTTTCGCTTCATTGCCATTCTCAACTTGGATTGTTGGTGAAACAATTATCGGTTGATTTGATGGTCCCTATAAGGAATATAGTTATACTCAATCTAGTAACTGTTCAAAGAGTTAGCAGACTAGAATATTATAGTGTTTTCAGTATCGTGCATAATTATAAAATGCAGATGTTAATGCATTTTGGTGTTCGTATGTGACTAGTTTATAGTAATTTTAAAAATCAAGATGTCTGTCATGAAGCTAACTTTTATCAGCAGGATTTAGTACTTCAACGCTAATAGTGATTCTAACTTAAGTTCTTAATAAATGCCTGATGCATGAGTTTATGATGATGACGTATTTTATATATTGGTTGTTTTGACGCTCTGCTGTACTCTATAATTCGAATTGACATTGATAGATCTTCTGTTGTAGTTCTCACAAGTATTGGCAGACCTACACCCACACCAGGTTAATGCTTTTAGTTAATTAACGCTGTTAATTAACTCGCATTAAATTAAATGGTCCCCCCCCCTAATCAAAAACTCGTCCTGGTATATGTTTAACATGAATGTAGTTTTTGTTTGAGACCAAAATTAGAATATGTGAAAATTATGTACTATCAGCACGTGTTTTTTTTAAGAAATTAAACATCTCATACTAAATACCTTGGACGAAAGACTATTTCGCGTATCTTCTGCAAGTGTACCCCAACTGTTCATCCCAATAACGACTGGTTTCCATTTATTATTACTTAATAATTTGCTACGATGAATCCCTTGACCAATAAGCCTTGATACACCACTATTTAAACCAGTTGTCAATACCCAAATACCTAGATGATCAATAGAAATCTATTGGAGCTCTAATGTTTAATATATATAACTAACCTTCTGTAGCTGCTAGGTGGCCAATTCTGTTAGGTGCTGGACTAACAGCGAGATGATATGACCACAGAACGGAGAAAAAGATAATCTTTTCGTGGGATTCGAACCACACATCCTCTGCTATCCGGGCAGATGTACTACCGTTATACTAGAAAAGACAACTTAATCTCCGTTTAGAATTGTAGGGGACCACTACAATTCTAACAAATTCCATTCATGAATTCTCTTTCTAAATTATCAGTCATGGTAAAATATGCTGCACCACCGTAACAACTAACAATCAATTTAGGTATGTTGTCTACATCGTCAAGAATTAGTTGAACCAGTTTTTCAAATGGATTTGCCTCTATATCACACCGAATGAACTGAAAAATTCAACAATTAATTTTCTTACCACATTCCTATTGAGATGTAACATACTCGAGCACCATTAGATAATTGTCCATACACAGTCATTGGTGTTACACCAGCAAGCTCGGTTCCCCATTTTCTTGACTTCCTGAGTTCTTTTTTTGGTTCACCTTCGTAACTATGCAGACGTGCTAACCGACCGCAAATGCACTTAGTCTTTTGATTAAAATCATTAGCGTCTCTGGTTGAGTAGACCGCACATGTTATTCCACTTAGCTCGTCGTTAGCTGCGTACCTTTCTACTCGTTCTTTCCATGTGAGTGTTGTGCTTCGTCCAATCGGCGTTCGCACATTTTCTCCAGCCCTGTTATTATTTGAAGCCATCGGTATGGATAAACGGCTTGAACTAAATCTATGAATTCAATAAACTATTCGTTGTCAAACATACAGAATTTCATCACATCAAAGAGAGACATCATGAAACTTTGTTTTTAATGATCAGAAGTGCCTTAAGGTTTTTCTTTTCTTTTCTTTTCCGTTTCTATGGTGTTGATAGGTGCGTGTTTTTTTTTGCATTAATTCTTCGTTAGCATTTGAGTATAAGGAGAAAAAAGACTTCTTGGTTACTTGAATTTTATTTCTTTTCTGCCGCTTTTCTTTATTCTTAGTTTTTCTTTGACTAAAACAACTTTTCGGCCCTCATTTCTTTACGATTACCTGATGGCCAGCCGAGTTAGATTGGAAAGTTCAAGTGAATTCGACCTAATAGATACATCTGCTGCTGTATTTGACAAGGCAAAAAAGTCACCTGAAAGCTTGATTGTGGTCCTGTTCAATATTCAGTAAGATTTCAAAAAACAATGATTATACGTTTGTTTTGGTTTCTAATTAGATCTTTTTCATAAATAAGATTTCCAGAGCGGGGCACTATCGAAGGAAAATTAAAGCTATGGCGAGATGGCTACCAAAACAAAGGTGTTCAATTCTACAAATGTATTATTTCTAGAGGTAAACAAGATATTAAAACAGAATTTAATATCAAGAAGACGCCAACATTTGTCTTTATTCGTGGTGGCAAGGAAGTCGATCGAATAGAGGACCTTGAAGAGTCCGACGTTAATGTTACGAATCAGACAAAGCCAGGTGAAGAAAGCAATGACGAAAAGAAGTTAAAATCAAAACTAAATGAATTATGTACACCAAGCTCAAGTGTAGATCCAAAATAGTATTCGTTGAAAAAGTAAACAATTTTATAATACCAATAGACACAGGTTCCCAAGACACAGAGTCACAGAAATCGTTTTTATTCCCCTCATTTCAAAACTCACACACGAATATAGAGAAGTCATTTTATGAATTTTGCGAATAATATAATGATAAAAACTCTATAGTTCAGTGAGAATTTTTTTTAACTACGGTAGCCTAAGAAACTGTCATCAAAGTGTCTGAATCTGGTTTTTTGTGAAGATCTATGTATTGTTTGTGTGACATGCGACCTTTTTTTGTCTTTAATAGTTTCTTCTTGATTTTGTAACAATTTTTTTTAAATATATACATCATCATAATATGAATTAGTGTTCGTTTCAATTATTTCTATTTTTCTTTTCGTCAAATCGTACACACAAAAAATGTTATTAATTGATTTTTCCTCTCATAATGAGTGAATATCTAGCAGAAACAATGATAGTGCTGAAAATACTTAAAGAGAAGGGATCATGAAAATTATCTCATGGATATAACTGTAAGTCTAGTAACAAATATTTGCACGATAGCAAGGTGATATAAACTGAATTGATGATGAGTTATAGTAGCTTTGTTGCGATTTCTATCGTGCAAAATCATCATAGCAACTTTTCATTCATGTCTTAGTGAGACACGTTTAAAAGTATCGAAAATGATCTAGCCAACATGACATAGTTTGAAAAATTGTCGGTGGATTGATGTGAACTAATACTAATATTTAGCTTTAATAAGAATGCAATTGGAATTAGGTATATTGCCCAACGTTTTGTAAACAAAGAATTAATATGTATCGTTCTCGTAAATTTTTATATGCTGCTGTGTACCGTCTCTAGTTGAACTTCAAGATTGCAATGGCTTCTCGATATGATCCGATGAAATACCTCGAAAACCTAAATGAAGCCTGTCTATCAAATAATGGTGAAAAGTTGACACCAAGTAACGCATCAGAACATTAAAAAACAGTCATTTGAGCCGAGTAATACGAGCATGACACGAAGCTTGAAACTGCCACTCGTTAAAACGCATTTCACCGAAGCGATGTGTTTGTTTGCAGTCATCATTTGAAAACAAGAATCAAAGCAGAAAGAAAAAAATGCAGTGTCATTAGTTTTTTTCATTGATCCTGAGAAAAGCCAGACACATACACATTTTACCTTGACAACAGTGTTATTTCATCAACTGAAAAAAAAATCAAACACAACTCAACACATCATCATGGCAAGACTAAAGTGTCAATAAACTGAAGTAGCTACCTTAAACTCTTGTTTTCTTTTTTCACAGTTAACTCATAAGTGAAATACGGTCTAAAATGTCCTTGAAAAGATGTCCCTGATGTTTCGTCCTCAGAAAAAATGTTCCCCGATATTTCGTCCTTGAAAAAATGTCCCTTATTCTTTAATTTTAGTTGTTGAACTGTGTTAGTGAAATATAGATGACGCCTTAAAGAAAGAAATATATCGGCGCATATTTTAATTGTCTATTGCAGAGGATATGACTACCGTATAAATAATTCAATAAAGACGAGAGAATATATCGTTTAAGTATCATTCGTTGTTTTGCGTTTATATTTTTCCGTAATCGCAAAAAGACATTTTTAATGGGATCTAATAAGTTGGCAACTATTGATTAAACTCAATGTTCATCGCCATCTCAATCACCCGAAAATTCATTTTTACAACCAAAGTCCAACTAAACCAACAATTACAAAAATATGCTCGAATAAAGGAAAATTTATGTTAATTATGAATGGTTATAATTTTCCAATTTAAAAATTTTAATCGAAAGAAAACTTTAAAGTTTTGGCGATACACAAATCGAAGCTGTAACGTAATTTTGCATACAAATTCTGATGATAAATTTATAAGAGTTTCTGGAACAGTTACTGTTCATAACCTAATTTTTCACATTAATAGCGGAATGAAACCTCGTGCAAAGCGACCCAATTCAAAAATTGTAGAACAACGTATGAAAGAATTATATGAACGATTTGACAACAAGCAAATTGATCCACAAGAATTATTAAAAGAACTTTATTTTTTGTCGCAAGTGGAAGATAAATTAGAATTTTATTCGTTTTTATTGATTATATGATCATGATTGATTTTATGAATAAGAGTAGTTCATGTTTTACAAAAAGCACATCTTGAAAATGAAAGACATTTTTTCGGAGGACAATTTCTAGTCAACTCTCCCTAGAAGAATCCCCGGGGAGTTATCTGGCCAAAATGGATGAAATATCTAATTACTAATAAATTCTTCTTCATTTTTTAAAATATAAAAAAATTAAAAATGTTTTTTTTTAATTTAAAAAAATTTCATCAATGACCGGGACTCCCCGGGGAGAGCGGATTAGGGAATATTTCTAAGGACCATTTCTCAGGGACATCTTTTCCGAAGGACATTTTTGAAAGGACATTTTTTAGTGACATTTTAGACTGTTACCCAAAGGGAAAACGGCGGACTTGTGAGCTTGAAGTTACTGTGAGCTACCTCAAGCTACTTTAAGTAGTGTACTTTGACGTACTTTTGTACTTCAAGTTCGTTGTTTCCCCTTTGCTGTTACCCATAAAAGCGCGTTTTCTAGCTTCTGAAAAATTGTATGAAAGAATAGTTTAATGATTCATCTTACAAAATCAATACTCCTGTTGTAAGATAGTAAACGGCTTGGATGGTCGAAATTTTCCTTTTTCTTAGAAGTACGGAGTACCACCAATACACAAATTTTCCTAGAGCATTTATCCAAACTTTATTTGATTGTGGTTTGATTTAAACATAAGTGTACATATGACAAGTTAATGACACTAATTTTTTCTAATATAATTTATTGATGAGTCATGAAGATTTAAAATTTATGATGATATGACAGCACAGTCTAAACTATATCCACACCCACTCTCACTGTTTACGGGCTTATGGGGAAAACTGTCGCTTTATATCCTTTTCTTGAATATGATAAGATATTGTACGAATGGACAACCAAATTCAAGATGAATTTGAGTATATTAAAAATGTTACATCATAGAGTACGTGTACCGCCGACTTTTTTTTATATCGATTGATTTAGATGTTCTTATGTTTTTTTTGTTTAAAAGCAGATAAAAGCGAATCAAGTCGAAAATTTCAAATAAATTTCTTTGAATTCAAAGGATGGAAAATTTTATTTGTTGGTGAAGCTAGTCTCGCAGAAATGACGAGTTATTAACAACATATGAATGAGATTGTGAAGCGGTAGAAGTTACACAAACAGGACTTGATAATTATTTGTCATAGTTATTGCTTGATTTCAGTTCATTAAATAAGACCGAGCATTTATATTGTCTAATAAATTATTATCTTCACTTTTGAGGTCTATTTCAAATGGAAATGAGTTCGATTATCGGCTCAGTAAGTCATCCATAACATCATATAGAAACTCTATATGAAACAATTAGATGTAAAATCTTGAAATTGTAAAAACTTTGCTGATAAATGTATAGCATTAACCGACCTTTGCTGTTCAAGACAATTGAGTATTCGGATTACATGGAACTCCAGGATGAAAGAAAGCGAAAATCTCTGATCAATGACATATGATGTTGATAATAAAATCGTTAAATAGTAAAGAATTTCTTCTTTTTGAATCCTTGGTTAACTCAACAATCATGAAAAACCTGATTTTTCTTGCAAATCCCTTAAGTTTATTGAAAGGGATGAAAAACAACAAGAACAAGAACAAGAGCAACAAAACAGCAATAACAGTTATTCTTATTTCTTTGTTCGTGTCTTTTGACGAACACTTTTACCAGGTCGAGACGATTTTTGTTTACCCTAAATAAAATTTCATAATAAAACGAAGTTAGAATATTGATAGAATTCTTACTTTTTTGCCTTTTTGCGCATGAAATGATGGCCGTTGCCATTTGCTAGATTGTTTATTCGTTACATCAGCTGAGCTATCAGCTGTATTCTTTTTTGAATATTTCTTTTGGCCGCCGAAACCAAATTTCTGATTCTTATATTCAGTTTTACGACTCATTTTTGAACTACGCAAAAAAAAGCATTCATCTAAATATGACTGTTAATTTTTTCTTTTGATATTACTTTTGTTTATAACCATTTTCATTTGATTTTCCAAAATTTCTCTTTCGATCACCAAGAGATTCTTCTAATTCTTGCATACCACCTTGTTTTCCTATAAGAAAGTTGATAAAACTAATGTATTTATTTTCTTATAGGTCATATTTTACCTTTTCGAACTTTTTTCATCGTTTTAAGTAATTTCGTTTTATCTTCTTGTCGTTTAAGTAAAACTTCTTGCTGAACTTTTTTACCATATAATCTTTGTTCACGTAATTTACGTAATTTTTCACGGTTTTCAATGTCAGATTTACGATTGACTAAATATTCTCGAATCTAAAAACAAAATCAAGATTTATCTTTGCTTGAAAATTGTTTTAGAATTTTTACTTTTTTCATATGTGAATCTGATTTGGCCATTTGAGCATAGTAATCATCAGGTCGTTTTGTTGCAAGTTTTTCTACTTTCAAACGAGGAATAGCTTCGAGAACTGTTGCTTGAGCTTGACGATAGCTAAAGCAAACAAAAATGTATTCATTATAGTATTGACGATTTTCCTTTGGATTAATTTACAAAAGCATTTCGCGTTTAAAATCATTATCGGCAAGTGTTTCATCTTCGTTTGCAGGCAAATCAACTTCATTGGTAATTATTGGTTTGTTAGTACAATCGAGTCGTTCGACCCATGGTAAATCAAGATAGATTTCAGCATATTTGGCTGTAAGTGCGTCCTAAAAATAAACATAACTCTATGAAAGCTATGGATGAAATGAAGTCTACTAACTTTGTTGTTGATCAATGGTCGTTTAGGTTTTTGTTCAATGTTTAAACCAGGTTGAAGACGGCCTTCACTGAAAGCTCTTTGAAGCTAAATAAAAACAGCGAAGTCCAATGAATTGAATTTATTAATATATTCTCCAGCGTGTTTATTCAGAATGGTGAAAGTCTCAAAGGATTTGTTTCATCCAAACGTTTACCACGGAAATCGTGACGGTGAATAACGCTCATCTGTATTGAGAGTCAAGTTTTTCCAGTAAAACTCAAAATAAGTAATGAAAGCTTACCTCAGCATCATCTGATTCACTATCAATATCTTCTTCCATTCCATTGTCCATTTCATTATCAGAATCGATATCCATAATTGTGAAAAAAAAGAAAATCTAAAATATGTTTTAATCGAAAAGAAAATCTGATTCATTAATTCAAACGTAAAATAGAAAACTTAATTAATAAATTTTCTCGAAAATATTTACAAAAGAGAACAAAAAAAGCATTATCTATTTTCATTATTTTCAATGTCATCAATAATTTTGTTAAGAACATCTTTAATCACTTGATGCAATAAACGCGTAACAGCATCACTAGTTTTCGGTTGTTCGATCTTTTTTATTTCGACTTCTTTTTTGACTACTTTTGACTTGTGTTGTTTAACTTGCATTAGACTATCATCTTGTTGCTGAAGTTTTGTCATTAATAATTGATAATGATTTACTAAATGGCCACTATTATTTTCATATTCATGTTTATATAAAACATTTTTTATTGCAATCATTGAATTTATTGTATCAGTCATGTACCATACAAAACCATTACGTGTTATACGTATACGCAGATTTTTTATAGTATGCGTTAACTGATTGATTAATTGTGAATGCTGTAGTTTTTCGCACAAACCTAATGAACAACGAATGATGTGCCCTTGTTCAATAAGACCAAAATCGTTTTTTCTCTTCGAATGATCTATTGATTGGCAAGATAATTCTGTTTGTGTCCACGAATCTGCACGTACAACATGAGCATAAACAACGCTTAAACGATTCATCGCACCACGAGAAGGTATACGGCCCTGATCAAATGATGTCATTGGTAATACGGCTGATTCTACACCGTTTATATCGACAAGAAATAAATCAGGAGTACGAACAATAATAATACCAATAACGAAATCTCTTTCTTTAGGTTCATAAATACGAGGGATGGAAATAAAATTATGTTGTAAAGCTTGTTGTGAAGAATGTATTGGTGGATTTCGATTGATTCCATGCGTATGAACGATTGCTGAAGTATTATCACGTTCACCGGGTAACAGATATGGATGTTTCTATAGTGAAAAATGAAGAATATGCCAAAAATAAAAATAAATGAAGGAAATTTACCGTCATCGATCACAAAAATATCAGAACTAAAAGTTAAATCTAAAAACAAACATTCCATTGAATAATGTAAGACGGTTTATGGTTGAACTGCGTGGATTTGACATCTCACACTACTAGGCAATATTTTCTCCAGTAAAGATTTTTATCTAGAAAACTTACTAAGTTAAATACCATATGAATATATTTATCTAAAATTAACAAAAAGAAATTCTATTGAGCTTGCCGTAACTTTTCAAGTTTTAATGGTAATAAATTAGTCATTTCTTTACAAATAGTATATTCCTGTTCGATATGTTCAAGCGCATTTGGATGTTTCTCAACATAATCAACAATAGTTTTATATTGATTTAAACTTTGTTGAATATGTTCAAGGCGATCTTGAGTAGATTTCGAATGAAATCTTCCCATATAAAAATGCGCTAATAATACTGGTCGAATGTATTCATCGGCGTATGTTTCAGGTTTTTCGTTTGTTTTTTTATCATTCATGGTCGTTAGAAAACGTTCAAATGTTGAAATACCAGATTGAATAAAATGCGAAATTTTTTCGTCTATTTTTATTGTATGTAAATCTTCTTTTTGCTCTAATTTCAGATCTAGCAAGATTGAATAACATTCGCCTAATTCAAAAAGTAGTTGCCGTACTAAATATAAATAATGTTCTTCGCTGATTTCTTTGCATAGCGACGATAATAAATCAATTCGACGTTTATACATTTTACATTTACGATCAATATTCGATTCAAAAAATACTAATTTGGCATATAATTGACTTGTATCTTGACATAATTCAACATGATCCGTTACGAAACCATCGAGAACAAAGTAAGATTTTGCTGAGTTTATTTTTTCCATCGCAAATAGAAATACTTGACGAGCTTGTTCATAATCAAGTACGTACGAACATGTCATCGACGCTGGTGGAAGTGAGAGTTTGAATACAAATTTAGGTATTGTCAATGAACGAACAATTTCATTTGGAGTAACATCGCGATCGGCTGCTTGAAGAAGGCGATCCGATGAATCACCTGAAAATAATCATTTTTTTCTTAAATATAGTTCATCTATTTAAGATTTCAGCGAACCTGGGAAAGCTGCGCAATGAAAATCATTTTATCCGAAATGCAAATTCGCCCATATTTCTGAGAGAAAAAGAAATACTTTAACTGATTTTTTTTACTCGTCTCACAGCACTCAGATAATCTAATCTTCCATGTGGTTAGTCAGTTGAGGGAAAGTTTTCGTTTCTTCACTGTGCTGATGAATTCGAACATATTCTCTTATGTAGATTCGACCATTCTAATTGAATGTATTTTAGCCATTAAATCATTCTTACTCAATAGGTTTACAGCATATTTTATCCAACATCGTTTAAAACTTGCTGTTCGTTCAGGTAAATTCTCATTTGATACAACATTTTCTAACATTTTATCAGCACACATAAGACAATGTCGAGCTGTGGCATAATCATGTTTTGTCATATAATATTGTGAAAGCGTAGCACAATTCGTAGCCCAATCTAATGGATCAAAATGTTTTCGATTATCACCATGAAACATGTCCAATTGACGTTCAAGTGTTAAACGACAATAATTCGCCGATTGATCTTTATCATCAAGTTTAGCATAAATTTGTGCCAGAAAAAATGATGTATAAGTATAGATTTGTTCGAATTCATCTCGACGATCAATGGTTGGAATGGCTGAATCGATTTCAATCAACTCTCGTAAAAGATATGGCTCTGTGGATAATGATTGATTATAGAGATTATCGGCACGTTTTGCAATTTCAATCGCTTCTTTATATTGTTCATAAGAAGTACGAATAAGAATTAATTGATTTAATAAATTTAAAGCAAGAGAACAGATTAACGAATGGTTGACTGCTGGTTCAATGGCCGTTAAAATACTTTGTAGATGTGATTCGCCTTCGCCTTTCTCCTCAGTGTCACTATAAATGGTACCGATATGATAATCTAATAATAAATCGACTAAAAAACGATGTTTTTTTGTAACTAAAATTTAAAAAAATAGATACATAATTACAATATAATAAATAACTTCGTCTGAAATTATTTTTTCTTAGTCCCTTCACTGTGAAAAAAAAGAATATTTATTTACCTGAAGGTTCATTGAGATATTCATCCGGTTTTTTAATAATAAATTTAAGTTTATTGTTCTCTTCAATCAGATCTAACGTATCGAATTCTTTTTTAATTTCATCTGACTCTTCATCAATATTTTCTGCATGTAATTCTTCAAATAATTTTCTTGCTTCATATTTCGATTTATACGGTTCAGCTTCTGGATCGTTTAAACTTTGTACATAACATTTATCAACAGCAAGCAAATACCTGTCGAGTAATTTCATCTGAAACAAGAAGAAACCAATTTTTATGATATTTGGGAAATTATCTCACAACAACAATCGAAATTTTACTTGCCCTCAAGTCAATAAATAATAATTGAATAAATAGTTATCTAGAATTCGTTTTTCTATAGCGAATAAGAGAATTTATATAACCATTAGCGACACCTATGAAAGTGTATCTGACTACTCTCTTGTATATTTGTTAATTAAATAGAAAATGAATTGAATTTCATAAATCGAATAAACCATATTGAAATTTACTTTAAAATTCCAATATTATACTATGAGATTTCCAATAAAAATTAACCAATGATTCATTCCTCTAGACTGATTGCATGTTTCTTCTTTTTTTTCAATATTCAACTCTCAAGTTATCATGTTTGCCGGTAAACTCTGTCATCCATTGCAAAGTGCATTGATTCAAATTCGTTCAACCTCAACAAAATTCGGTCCTGTATGTAATTTAATTAAAGAAACAATCGAAAAATCTTATTTAAAACCATATCATGTTGAACTGATCAATGAAAGTTATAAACATAACGGTTTTAAACCTGGAAAAGAAACTCATTTACAATTAACAGTTATAACACATGCATTTGAAGCCATGCCAATGCTTGAACGACATCGACGTTTAAATGATCTTGTTAAAGATATTGTTAAAGAACATCAAATTCATGCATTAAGTCTATATACACCGAATCCAACATTATGGTATGATAGTTTTCGTCGTGGACTTAAGCAGGACGAACAATATCGCACACCACCATGTCTCGGTGGTCGAATTAAAGAATTAAGTCAAGAAACAGACCAAATTATACAAGAAAAATCTACTCAAAATCAAACTAAATCGAATGAAACTGTATAGATTAGAAAAATTCAGCATTGAAATTAGTAATGTTTGAATTTTGTTAAAAAGAGATTTAGTAGTTTGTTTGTTTTTTTCACTGAATAAAAGTTTCAAAAAAAACTCAATATGAAATGTTCAAGTTGTTTTACTCTATAACAACTAGACTAAGTAAATTACATAGCGAAGTCATGCAATTTGAAATATTCAATCCAGTAGTGTAAATAAATAAAACCTATAGTACTACTATGAAATAGCCTTCTATTATTAATACTCTTCTCGAGAATAGAATATGGTTCACTTAAATTGCTCGATCAGATCATAGGAAATGATATTTAACTTTTCTATATAAGACTTTAAATGATTGAAATCTTCAATAGAAATTGATTATTCACTAATAAATAAAAATGAATGTTTCATGAAGAATATGATTGATATTGAAATCTGAACAAATCAAAAAAAAAACGAAAAACAAACACGAATAAATTTGTTCCATTGCTAATGAAGAAGGATAATTTGTCTTTTTTTTGTAACGACAAACAAATACAATAAACGTATAAACAAATAGTATACGAAGACGAGAAAAAAAACAAACAAACATAGAGAGAGAGAGAAAAAAAAGGTACAAGCAACAGCTTATTTAATATAATTTTGTTTTTTTGAAATATTTATTGTGATGTTGGTGGATGAGTAAGACATGCTTGATAAATAATATCAAGAAAATGATCATCATTTTGAACGAGATGAAGAAGAACATTACGAAAATGTTCGCGACTCATTATTGGAGTTAATTGAGTTGATAAACGATGTTTCGTACGTTCGGCACCAATAGCAGCCACAGGTGAAGGTGGTGTTGCTGCTATAGGTTCGAACGCTGATGGTGGCATAAGATCAAGTAGATTTTGTTGGGCCGATTGTTTTGCAAAAACTGAGCTATCATCAAGAGAAAGATTTTCTAATGCATTTTGACCACGAATATTGAGAAGTCGTTTGAGTGACGATGTTGGATCTTCAGTATTATTATTATTACTTCCATTTGTTAACGGAATTAGTGAAGGAGGAAATGAACTTTGTTCGATTGGTTTAGCAATTTCAATTTGACCAATGGATGTCGATGGAACAGTAGGAGTTAAACGTGCAAGATGGGTATGGAGAAGATCTATAGGGATCTGCGTTGGATAAGGATTGACAGATTGCAGTGGTGGCGGTGCTTGAGGCTGTTGAATAGCAACATTTGATGATGCAATTAAACGAGTCGGAGTCTGATTGACATTAACACGAGTCGAAGCAATTTGCGGTGGTGTTTGATTTTGTAACTAAAATATTCAAAATTATTCACCATGACTCTAATTATTCCTTGTTGTTAATTGTAAAAAAACAGCTGCAAGCTTTGAATTAACCAGCAGCCTCGAAACGCGCCGCCTGCCCCGAGCAATCCTTTGCGTCGAGTCGAGCGAGCCTAGAAAAAGATTTTACCGGGCTGGGCCGGGCAAATATTTCAGTCGGGCTGCCCGACAACGAGTTGAACGTTAATTTTTCTAGAAACATCAAAAGATGTCACATGTTATTCTGATATTAATTTTACTTAAACACTCATCATCAATGCATTTTCATAATTTTTTAGCGCTTTGACGTCTAATAATTTTTTAGCGCTATGAAGTCTAAACTAAGCTTATATTTTATCAAATAAATTTTAATAACAAGAAGTTTCTTTGCACTTGTCAAATAAGTCGGGCCGGGCCAGGTGGGCCCTAAAAAAATAGCCCGACGGACTGGGCGAGCCATCAAAAAGTGGCCCAATTTCGAGGCCTGTTAACCAGTAACTACGCGATGTTCAAAACTCAACTTAATGTAGTGTAAAAATGACTCATTTAACATTTCTCAGATATGCTGCGACTGATTCTCCGTGTGGACTCAAGAATAAATCTTCAGAATTTTTCAAATGCTAAACAGACCATTCGTTTATCCACTTTATTCTAGTGAAAAGAAATCGACTTTTCTTTATACTCACAATGATTGGTTGTTGTGGCATTTGTTGTCGAAAAATATTTGTCGGTGGTTGTTGCATTGACATTGTTGGCGGTATTGGTCCATTCAATTGTGCTTGAGAATCAATTGGAATAGAAGATGCTGCTGTTGTACGAACTTGTTGTTGTTGTTGTTGTTGCTGTTGTTCTTCAAGAGTTTTTATAGCTTGAATACACCGAGTAAGAAATGTATTTAATCGAAGACACTCTGAATCGGTTAAAAAATGTATACAAAAAACCTCACGACGATCATTCCGAGCAACTTCATAGAATAAACGTAATTTATCAGCTTGTTGCACCATATCCGACGTTATTGGTTGTATAAGAAATTTATCTCCATTGATAATTCCAAATGCATAGGATGGACATGGCTTGTTGTTTATGATTTGTTGTTTTTCGTATACACATAAATTACCTTCGATATTAGGTGAATTTTCCCAACGAAGTTCAGTTGAATTATATGAAAATGCTTTAACTTGACCGATACAATCGAATAGACGTGTTGCTTCTCGATCATGTTTACGTATCATTGTACCTATTTCAGTCAGAACTTGTTGTGATAGTCGATTTGGAGTTTGCATTATTGGTGACGAATGAGAATTAGGTGCGACAACAGATGTAAACATAGGTGGTACAGCTTTCGGACGGACGATGGACGATTGTTTATCGTCTAGCATGAACACATGCAAAATAAATTTCAAATTGAAAGATTTCGTAAAAATGTAAGAACAAAAGAGAGAAGAAAAAACTTTTGACGAGTTAAGAAAAAGAAAGAGACCGGATGGATGAAATAGTTCTTTGTTTCATTGGCTATTTCTATTTTAGAGGATTGAATAAAATTGGAACCAATTATAAATTGAATTCTATAGATGTCGCGGGTGTATTGCGTATCAATTGTGGCCGAATTATTTTATGCTGCGAAACAAAGAAATCTTATCGAAATTACCGTCCTTTATAATTAATCGATTTTTTCTTCATAGTTATCACATGCATCTGTTTTGATCATAACTATGTAATGGTCAGTGTAACAGATATTATACTGAATAGCCCAGGTCGATCAAAACGGGCCACCGTAAACGGTCGTTTTTGCATCGTATTCAGTCGTAAAACGGCCGTTTTAACCCGAATTAAGGCGTTTTAACAGGGGCAATATTACGGTCATACACCCACACCGTATATCAGCCGTAAAACCTCGTGCAGCCGGCGCAATATTATCATATTCTATAGTACATACGGTCGTATTACTGCCCCTGTTATAAGGGGAAAATACGGTACGTAAAACGGGCCGTATTTGTAGCGTATACGACCGTTTACTGATCGTTTTCTTCGACCGGGGAGCACTGCTGAGAGTTTTGTCTGATGTGAATTGCAATACTAGTGCTCCTATAAAGTTTGTGATGAATTTATTTACATATCAATCTTCACTACGGATTGAATAAAAATTTAATAAGTTCTAACATATGATTTACTCTTGTTAATTGTGTATTAAACAGCTGAAAGTTTTCTACAACACTGAGCGTTCGTCATACCGGTATTCGTAGAGATGTCCAGTGGCGGAGCCAGGGGGNCCCCCCCCCCCCCCCCCCCCCCCCCCCCCCCCCCCCCCCCCCCCCCCCCCCCCCCCCCCCCCCCCCCCCCCCGCGGCTCCCCTAGTGAGATTTTAGAAAATGCATTTTTTATATAAATGTGTATTAATGTTTCCAGTTTAACGTTTTAACAAGTGCTGCCAGGTAGCAAACTCAAAAACCCAGAAAAAATCCGATAAAATTTTCAAAATCTCTAAAAAAAAACTGCAGAAAGACTTTTAAAATCCGGGAAAAACCCGGAAGAGTTGTCAAAATCCGCAAGATCTGTCAAAACCGTTCCTAAAGCACGCTTTTAAAAGTGGCGCCTCGCCCCTAATTTTTGGATGTTCACGACACCTCTAAGGGGCTGCGGGCCCCCCNAGGGGTTGAGCCTTCCTAGCCCAAAATCCTGGCTTCGCCACTGGAGATGTCATGAACGGAGTATCATCATCTTGTTTTAACTTTCAGTAATTAAAGTCGTGAAGTTTAGGAGAGTATATTGCACTATGTTCTCACAGTACAAGAAAGAAATTGATGTACTGAACTTTCTTTTTTAAGATGGTACTAGTCTTGATAAGGTTCTCATGGAAACATGACCCTTTTTTTTATGAACGAATGTTTTTCACCAAATGAATTTCATAACATACGAATTGCAGTTTTTAATAAATAATTGTTGTTCGATGAATTGCAAATTTGTATTACGATTGATTTATTCTTCAAGAAAAGTTTATTCTACTGATTCATATTCATGTGCATATGATCCATTTCCAAGATGGTTTGTTGATAGTAGTGATAAGAGGAATCTTTTCTATAGGGACAAGCTCAACTATTCTGTTTACTTCTTGATTCTTCAAGCTTCTCGAAATTTTTCTTCTTCGAAATAATATTCATTAACTTGAAATCTCTTCCATGGCTGGTATGAAAAGTATTACATGTAAAAATCCTATTTGTAATAACGTGTCACCGGAGATGAGGAAATTTCTAAGTAGTGAATGATCGAAAAATAAAACATGATCTACAAAAATTTCCTTTGTTTGATGCATTTATTGAATTGACGAAATTGATAACTGTATTTTATAATTTTGACGTGGCCTTTACCATATTTGAAAAGACGGAACCCATCTCAGATAACTAATTTGTCTCAATTTTTAGTGCCTAAATCTTCGACAAACGTTTAGCCTGTTTTAAATATACAAGTTCATTTCTAAATTTTGTATAAACAACGAACTGTAATAAATTCAACAATACCACCATCATCACTTCATTCGAATGATTTTTCTGCAGCTACAATTTCTTTATAAATTCTATTACGAAATTCTACTATACACTCCATCTACGCCTGTAGGCTTTGAGTCAATTTTTTACGAATAGATCTATAAGGATTAACATTGAAAAAGTTTCAGAAATCTATGACATCGATTACTTTCTGTATCAAGTTTGACAAAATTGATGAAGAATCATATTTGAAAAGAAGACAACTACTTGTCTCAGGTGAAAATTTAATACTTCACGTTTTTATCTCTTTTTGGGTTTTAAAAAGTAGCTGAGAGAAATGGATATTTAACATTGAAGTTGCAAATAGAAAATGACAGTATCACAATATGTCAATTTATGAATGTATTACAATTAGTAAACTTTTAAATCGTGTATTATTTGGGAAAAAAGTTATCAATAATTGCAACTATTGTGTTCCTATGAACAGAACTATTATCTGAATTATTTTGAACACTAGGCTATGCTTTTGTGTTGAACTTGAGAGAATAATATATTCATATTTCAGATCATCAATTTCATTGAACGTTAGTTCGTGTTTACAGGTAGAGAAGAGTATAGAAACGCAATTCCTTTTATGTTTTAGACTCCTTGAGATGTACCGGGGCCAGCAAGTACCTCTTTTCAAAGATAAGAAAATCTAGAGCGATTAAACTGATCCTGGCGGTATAGAAGTATTTCATTGTGCATTGAAGGGATAAGTGTTTTTTTTAGACAGTGTTGAGGCATCGTACAGCAACAATGCTTTGCAATAAAAAAGAGATTTCCAGATAGGAACGTTCAAAAGCAAAATTGCAATTGACAGGTTTCCACCTGGTCCAGGCTGTGCTGTTTTGCTAATTATTTATTTGTCTATATAGTTAAGATTGCTCAGATTAAATCTCTCAACAATTTTCTCTGTTAAAAGTAATCGTTAAGATTTTAAGCTCAAGATAACATAAGTCTGATTACTCATTGTTTTAATTGTATTTCAACTTAAAATCCAATGTAGCTGTAGTAAGAGTGATTGATGTAGTGGAGTTCATAAGTTTTTTCTCTTATTATATCCTGGATATTACGATTATGGCAAACATAAAGAACGGGGGCAAGTAAGCCATGACTTGAATTGACACGAAAAATGCTTTCATCAGAAGCGAATTACAGATTTCCATAGTTGTTGTATTGAAAGTTTAATTTTTTTTTATTACACAGTAACAAGATATTACCAGGCGGAATATTATTTCATATACGAAAACTGATACTATAAGCTTATCTTAAAACAAGGAGTTACATTAGCACTTAGTTGCACCTTCATTAGCATTTAGATGTATTTTCATCAGTACTTTTTCAGCTTCTAAAAAGCCAACCAAGTAGCACAAATGATTACCAATTTTACGAACTAAGACTAAGAGCAGATTATTGTCTGGGTATTACTATAGATTCAATCCTCTTTTTTGTTTTGTTTAGAACGGCTTCAATCTCTAATTTTTGCTAAAGAAAAAGATATGTTATAATGATTACATCAGCATTTGTCAATAGATTAAGTTCAAAAGGTTAGTGTTCGAGATGAAGCAATCGAAATTACCCGATGCTTTTAAAAGAGAAAAATGTTCAAATATAACAATCATTTTAAATTCAACAATTGAATAGTTTAGATCTTGTAAAAATAGACAAAACTTTGATTATCTGTAGATTAGGACAGATTATTTTAATTTCTATTCGATACTTTATAGTTAATTGTAATATTTATGTTTTTGAGAATATTCGATTTTTATTTAAAAAGCTAAATAACGGAAAATTTGTAGATGTTACTATGAATAAAATTTTTCCACACTTGTTCTTAACACCGCAGTATGTAATGAATTTGTGAATCTCATAAGATGATCAAATTTTTTTAAATATTTCACGAGCAATCTCAATATATAATTAATTCTATCAAGAGGAGCAAAAAACAGAACTAATTGGTGATTTGATAAAATTAAAATTTCTATTCGTCACAAAATAATGAAACGGCATAAATATTATTTGACCCATGTCTCTATGAAAATGCAGCCGAAACTCAAAATATTTTTTTATCAAAACAATCCGAGCAAACAGCTCTAGAAATCCTAAGAACTTGAATAAATTTCGACGAAATTGTCAGATGACTTATCGAAACTCTATCGATATGTTTTACATTAAAATTCAACAAAAAAAATTCCATTGAATCGACTTTTTGCAGTAAGGAAAAAAACTAAAAATTAGATTTTTCTCATATTCTTTCACATAGAGTCAAAATCTTTGTCCTATTCTCTGGTAATCTTTCATTCAAACTATGTTCATCATTTCATCTATAGTCAAAATCTATTTTTTCAAATGGTATTTTTTACTACTGCTGTCTAGTGACATCACTTTGTCATAAATTCAAGAACGTAATGCTAAGAAATTTATTCGTCATACATACAACTTGTCTTTTATAATAACCAGTAGATAATAAATATATATAAATATAAATTAGTTCTATTTCATTCGGTTTTATAATCATTGACGTGAACTGAAAATTATTAAAAATATGATTTTGAAGAATAAATCGAAATAAATATTTCGATTTTTGATAATTGAATATGAAAAAAAGATTTCAATCTGCTATTCACTTTTCGTTCTAATCTTATCTATTTCTGATCAACTTAATTCTCCTTTAAAGATGATGTTGAATTCTCTGTCTCGATATCTGATTCAATCTTTTTGGAAAGTTGACCAAAGAAAATATAAATATGTTTCTGCCTTATTATCGTCAACATCATCGTCGCCATCAATGAAATTAAATTTGAATATGAAAAAATTAATTGATTCTCAACAATATAGACAAGCTCTTGCAATTTTTGATCGTCAAATATCTATAGGTGATCAAGTAACATTTACTTTAGCTTTAAAAGCTTGTACAAAATTGAATGATTATCAATACGGTATTCGAATTCATCAACAGTTATCATTGAAAGCACTTGAAGACCCATATCTTCAAACATCACTAATTCATTTCTATAGTAAATGGTGCTATTTTTTTTTTGAGACAGGAAATAGATATATAAAATAATTTCTTTCATCTAGTGCAATGTCACAATATTGATCAAGCTGATAAAATTTTTTCAACTAAGAAGAATAAAACCGTTTACACATATGGTGCAATGTTCAAAGGTAATTTCAATTTATTTTCTTTTTCTTCAATCTATTTGACGAAAAATTCATCCATTTCTTAGGTTATATTTCGAATAATATGCCAGAAAAAGTTATTGAATTATTTGAGAAAATATCAATAAAAATAGATGAAGTAATTATTATATTATTATTTAATGCTTGTGCTAAACTTTGCAATAATCGTGCAATTAAAACTGGAAGAGATGCACTTAATCGATTACCAACTTCGTTTCTTCAAAATCAAAAATTAATAAATGCAGCTATTGATATGTTAATGAAATTTGGTGATGTCAATCAAGCGGAAGTTTTGTTTGAAAAAACTCAAAACAAAACTCTTGTAACATATGGAGCAATGATGCAAGGTTATCAAAAAACAGAAATAAATAAATTTTTGATTATTATAGAGCTTTTATTTTAGGTTATGTTACGAATAATTTATCTGATAAAGCATTAGATTTATTTGAAAAAAATCCTTTAAAATCTAATGAAGTTTTATACTCAATTGTATATAATGCATGTGCTTCATTGTCAAATGAAAAAGCCATTCAATTAGGAAAGAAAATATTTGACAAAATGCCAAAGAGATATCTTCATGATAATGTTTTAGTTAATTCAACAATTCATATGTTTATGAGTTTTGGCGAAATAGAAATTGCTGAAAATCTCTTCTCACATATTAAAGACAAGACTTCATATACTTATGGTGCAATGATAAATGGTTATAAAATCAATCAAGAACTACAGAAATGTTTATTACTTTTTGAAGAAATTAAAAAAGAAAATTTAATAATAGAAGAACCTATATTTCTATCATTAATTGGAGCATGCTCTCAAATAGGAATACGTTCAATTTGTGAACATATTGTTCGTCAAATACCTCTTTCGCAACCGAGTATTTATTTACAAAATGCTTTGATCGATATGTGGGTAAGAATCATTTAATTTTTATTTATTAATTATTTAACATTCTGTCAATAGGGTAAATCAGGTGATGTTAATCAAGCTAAACAAATATTTCAATCCATCTCTCAACCTGAAATTATTAGTTATAATTCTATGAGTAAATAAATAAATGATTAATTTCTAGACTATCTGCTTGTCTTTCTTTTACAAATAATATTTATTATTTTTGTATTTAGTAAATGTATATGCAAGAAATGGAATGGGCTATGAAGCAATTGATTTATATAATAAAATAGATGAAAATATTCGTGATAAAATTTCTCATATTTGTGTTTTAAATGCTTGTTCTCATTCGGGTCTTATTGATCAAGCTCAAATGATATTCAATAAAATTGAAAAAAAATCAGTAGAAATTATTACCACAATGGTTAGATTATTGATTAGTAGTAGAAAAGAAACTATCTACTAACAATTTAGATCGATTGTCTTAGTCGTATGGCTATGTTTGATCAAGCACAAAAATTGATCGATGATTATGAAAAGTCAAATTCACCTGATTCGATTATGTATAGTAAGAAAATTATTTATTAAACATGCGTCATCGATAAATCCACCAGTTAATCATTTATTTGTCTTTATTTTTTGCAGCAGCCATGTTGTCAGGTGCTCGAAATCATCGTCATCTTGTTCTTTCAGAAAAATTGTACAATCAAATGAAATCATTATTTTCTAATGAAAAATCAGATTTGATTTCTGCATCGATCCTATTATCAAATACTTACTCTTCTTTGGGACATGAGCAACAAGGTGAAGCAATAAGAATTGATCGAATAAAACAATTTGGCAAAAATGCCAAAGTTGGTGTATCATGGACTGAAGTTAATGGTCAACTTGTGGTGAAAAAAACACATTTGTTTTTGAGTATGACCATTTGTTGTTTTGTTAATTTTAGAGATTTCACGCTCATGATCGTTCTCATCGTCAATCCAATGAAATCTATGCTGAACTTGAGCGTTTATCAAATGAATTAAGAGAACATGGCTATGAATATGATTCAACTTGGATTACTCGTCCATTGAAAGATGGAGAAACTGTTGAATCTGTTTTATGTGGTCATAGTGAAAAACTTGCCATTGCATTTAATTTTATTCAACATCCTCGACCATCATTTATTCAGATAACAAAAAATCTTCGTGTCTGTGGAGATTGTCGTAAGTCATAAAAATATTGAAATATGTTTTTGAAGATTATTTTCTTAGATCGTGCAACGAAACTTATTGCGAAAATTCGACAATGTGACATCATTGTACGTGATGCTAATCGCATTCATCATTTTCATACGAATGGACAATGTTCTTGTCAAGATCATTTTTAATTTATTTTCACTATTGTTTTTTAATAGAACTTCATCGTGAGATTGTAAATCAAAAAGGAATCTCTCTTCATTTTCTTCTTGATGATATTATTGGGAAGTTAAGGAGGATGTGGGTGGGGATCAGTGTTTCCACTGGCAAGTGTACACAGCAGAAGCAAAATGTACAGAACATCTGCTAGTTTTGATTTACACTGTACTATAAACTTGCCCAGAAAAACAAAGTGTACAATGGACACTGCTAAAATAGTTTACACTCTGATTTCTTTGATCTCTGAACCATATCCAACTGACCCCATCAGGGCATATTTTTTCTACTTCATTTGTACATAGAAATTGTAGATCTCATCACTTTACATCTATCCTAGAAAAATCTCCTTGGGTCTTGACTCTATGACGGAGAACCTAGGACATGAGTTGTACGGACAGACTGTGGATACCATGATTTTAGCAGTATTTATCATATTCGTGAAGAAAATTTTTCGTTTGTTAAGAAAGTTTTCTTACAGATTTGTACAGAATTTAATTCTCTATCGAATGGTATATGATCCAAAATATGAACTATGACTATTGTTCTTAATAATTGACTATTTTTCGTCTCGCCGTTGAGCAAATGCAATGCATTTTAGGGTGTGATTATGGACTAGAAAAAAGTTCAACAGATCAGGCTGACACTTTCAGGGATGACTACTATGAGTATGCTGCGAATGATTCGAAAGTTTGAAGCCACTTCATGGTGCAATTCTTATTGGGCCGAAATCTGTATAAAACGTCCCTCGTCCTTTATTCGAAGTTTTTGGATGTTTTTGTTATGAAAAACAGTACGGAATCAATATAAGGTGAATAATACAACCAGTACTGCGTTTTGATCTTTGTAAGTATATTTAATTTGATTTCCTTTATTTGCAACAAGAGAAATTTATCCATCAATATTAGAGAACTTCTTGCTGATCGCAGGGAGTTTCAATTCATTTTTTATTTATTTAAAAATATAGATTAGACCAAGAACCACTGTAGAATTCAGTTGTAAAAACAAAATTAATTGTTACTTGTTGACTGTAGTATCTGATCTGATAATTAAAGGATGAAACATTGTAATCACTGAACATTTTAATGATGTATTATTTAGGACATAAGTTATCTATATTATCATCTGACTGCCACTGTTGCTTTTCTACGAAAAACCTTCTTATCTGAGCTATTTTGAGAACTAGGAGATATTTTTGTGTTGAACTTGAGATAAGAATATAGTATATATTTATTCTTCAGCAGAAAAATTTCATTAAGCATTAAATCATCGGGACATTCCAAGGTAAAAAAAATATTCTTACCAAAGTTTGTTTATCGTAGAGAAAAATACTCTTATAGTCAGTATTGCGATTTTTGTATACTTCTAGGATTCCTTTTTTTCTGTATCGTATACTTGAAATTACAACTATGACAGGCGCTAGAAGCTGAGGAAATCAAATCTGGAGTGACAAGCATTTCACTTGGTAACATATTAGATTCTCAAAGGCAAAGAGACATTCTATATGGTGCTGAAATCATAACTGTTCGATTATTGAATGATTCATATTCCAAGTACAATCTCATAGGTGAGTTCACTGGTTTCAGGATTATCAATCTTGAAACAATAATACAAACAGTACACGTTTAGGTCGAACATCGAGCGTGTGAAAATGACAATTATTCACTCTTTCTCTCTCATCAACAAGAAAGAATTCATAAGATTTCTATGAAACATTATTAGTGCTTCGTGTATTCTAATGAGTCTCAGCATAAATAGTAATGATAAATCAATTGCGTAATTTGTACATGAATTAGGATGTTTACGAGAAAAAGCCTAATTAAGTAATCCTCTTTATTCGATGTTGTTTCTAAAAGAATTTCTCCGACATAGTTGAATTTATGTGGATGGACTAAAGAAGGACTTCGTTTGAAATGCGTTATTATAACAAACTTCATAAACTATAAAATATTCTAATTTTTGTGATATAACTGTTCACGGAGATGAGGCAACCTGCTGAGAAAAAAAATAGCGTAGTTTTCTCATACATACTCAAGTGAAATAAAACCGCGTATGATTAATCAAAAACATACGTATGTTTGAAGGTCTCCAATTTAATAATGGCGAAAAGAATGTTATATGTGCGGTTCTTTGAATGCATTTTCTTTTTCGTTATGTATTGATTGCATCGCACATTTTTCGATTCTTTATACAAGCGAAAAATTGCACAATCATGACGAAGGTCGATGCCATGATGTCAAAAAAAAACACATATCAACATGAAGGAAGACAAAACTTACAAAAAAAATCACTTTATTAAAGCATACTCTCTGAAAACTAGAAACATTCATGGCTGATAGAATTCCTTTATCTCTCATTGAATTACCCGTTGAGCTTGTTTTTCGTATTCTGGACAATATCAATGATATCACGATTTTATGTTCGGTTCGTAACGTATGTATATGGCTGAACACGATTATTGAGACATATCATCGATACAAGGTAAATTTTATCATCATCATTATCATCATCAAAATGTCGAATTCAAGATATCATCCACTGTACATAATCATTCTTTTGTCTATTGGACTTGTTGATTTTAGAATTATTTTAAGAACTCATTCGTACAGTACCGATAGAATTGTCGGTCACATGAGAGATTCAGTTGGATTTAGCAAACGCAAACATTTGCCGAAAAAGAGAGAAGTTAACAGAAAAATTATAGATATCATTTCTAGGAAGTTCTAGAGCATAATTTAATAGCATACTAGCTCAATTAATAAGCTAGAATTTCTATAGTGTAACTCAGATTATTTACTCTATTGTGTTATGACCTATCTACTTCACGTTTCAAGTTTAGAAGAGTGAGTGTATGAAATGTAATCCTTGCTGTCTACGATTGCCAATTGCCATGTTACGATTAGATTAGTCGAAGTGAAAAAAACTTTTAACTAGACAAGTATAATTTTGCTGACTATTTGGATTCATTTCACCATGCAGTTAATCTAGAAAATTTTCAAAGAACTCGTTTTTATCCTATTTCGAGACATTATTCTATCAGGGATTCCACTAGAACGATTCCATAAAACTTTGTTGCCGCCTATCTTGATTTAACATATTTCATTAAGGATGATGAAATCACAATTAGCTTATCAGACCATCCAAAATATTTTCTTATTCAGTTAATAAATAATAGCGTTTCAATAAAATAACACTCTCGACTAAGGGAGTGCATAACTAATTGATCTCTTTTTACCACACCCTATATGACTGCAATCTGAAAATAGCTTTTGTATTCTTAATCTCATATTGTCTATATATGTACTAAATCTACATTTCTATAAACTTTTATTTCATCGTCTGATGATTATTTTCTTTCTCTCACCATACAACAAGTTCTCATAGACTACATGAATATTGCAGATACTGATAAAAAAAGAAATATAACCGAGTAGAAAATAGCCTCATACGAATTCAATCAGCATATTCTACATAATTCTATAATGTTCAACTGCATATCACCTGCCTATTGACCATCACAATAAGTTTTTTAATCAGCCTCACAGTCTAGAAGATTGCTTCAACTGCGGTAGACACTGATGACTTTTGAATTTAATTTGAATCATAAACTGCAGAGGAATAGTCATAAAATCTTGTCAATATTTTCTTTAACCAAATGGCTAAAATAACGCCTTCCACGCTGCTCCAGTTCTCAACTAGCACTTACACTTAGAGGTGGCACTTTACGTTAATTTAATGTTAATAAAAAAAAACCTTTACATTAGCCACTTAATTACTTAAAATTAAATCTTAACGTAATATTTCATTTTTAAAGATTAAGTGTTAAGTAAAACTACTTAAATAACTCTCTTAATTAACTCAAATTAAAATCAACGGTCCACCCCTACTTACACTTACACAGACACTTACCAGAATCAAGATTCATTTGAATCGTATCCGCGTCGGAGGAGCACAGTATCTTGCCAATGCACTAATAAACAACAACGTAACATGCCCATATTTTATCCATCTAGATCTTATTGATTTTTATCTTTCCTATAGATACTTACTACATTAGATCTTTACAAAACTGCGATTGAGGATGCAGGTGCCACTTATATTGCCAATGCTCTGAGATACAACACGGTAAAACATAATTTTACTACTGACTCTATCATGACTGATCTCGGCATTCGAAACAGACTCTTACTGTACTTAACATCGTTTCGAACGAAATTGGAGACAAAGGAGTCAAATGTTTAGCTAACGCTCTCAGAAATGATACAGTAAGAAATTATATGTCGCATTGATCTTCTATTATATTCTTTTTTTTATTTTTAAAACAGACATTGATCATTCTGAACCTGAGTGAAAATGAAATACAAGACGAAGGAGCAATGCATTTGGCACACGTTCTCGAAAATAATTCAGTATCACATCACTCTCTTTCAATCTTCTGTTCATTACCTATATTTTTCTAACAGACACTGATCACACTTGACCTCCATTCGAATAAAATTGGAGACGAAGGAATACATCATATTGCCTATAGTCTCACAAAAAATTCAGTAAAAAACAATTTTACATTGTTTTCGTGGTTCATCCTCTTATGCTTTCCAAACAGACACTCACCACGCTGAATCTCTATTCGAATCAAATTAGGGACAAAGGTGCAAGTTATCTTGCTGGTGCTCTAAAAACCAATACAGTAAAATATAATTTTCTGCGTTCATCGCTTTTACGTGTGTATAATTTCTATACAGGCACTTGCCACGCTCAAACTAAATTGGAATGAAATTGGACACGAAGGAGCACATCATCTCGCTGATGCTCTAGTGAAAAATAAGGTAAAACCACATTGCTGATAATATCTTCAGTTGTTCTTTGAACTTATTCAACAGACACTTACCAGACTAAGCCTTCATTCCAATCATGTTAGAGACGAAGGGGCAAATTATTTTGCTCAAGCTCTCAAAATTAATAAGGTATAACATTATTCTATTTCGAACTGGCGATTATAGATCTCAATTACTCAAAACAGACACTTACCACACTTAATCTCGCTTCGAATGAAATTGATGACGACGGAGCGATATATCTTGCTGACGGTCTAAAAAACAACGAAGTAAAATATAGTTTGTCATTGTTTAACACTTGTTTATCCTCTCGATTTTTGGATAGATTCTAACTACGCTCAACCTGTATGCAAATGAAATAGGAGACGAAGGAGTAGAACATCTATCTCATGCGCTCAGAAACAACACGGTGAAACATGATTTGCTTTACTAATATTATTGTTTATCTTATCTAGTATTTAAACAGGCACTAAGAAAACTCAAACTAGACAGAAATCAAATCGGAGACGAAGGAGCAAGACATCTAGCCTATACTCTAGAGAATAATATGGTTAAATACGCTTTTCTTTTAATCGGAGACATATAACAAAGTTACATTTTTATACAGACACTCACTGCGTTAGATCTTACTGTAAATGTTAAGATTGGATACGAAGGTGTAAAACATTTAGCCAATTCTCTAACAAATAATACAGTAAAGTATCATTTTCTACTCGCCTCAATCTTACCTGCATTGATATTTCCCATAGACACTCAACATACTAAACCTTAGTATGATTACTCTCGGAGATGACGGAGCGATGCATCTTGCAAATGCTCTAAGCAAGAACACCGTAAGACATCATTTTTTGCTTTACCTTGCTCATAGCAATCTTTGGTTTTTACGTAGACACTCACCACATTAGATCTTCATTGGACTGAAATTGAAAAGGAAGGCTCACTCTATCTTGCAAACGCTCTCAAAAAGAACAATGTAAAGAAATGTTTTTCAATTGATCTCGATATGAGTGACCTTGACTTCTCACACATAGACACTGACCACACTCGATCTCAAATGGAACAAAATTGGAGATGAAGGAGCACAATATCTCGCGGATGCTCTCGGGCAGAATAAAGTATCATACCATTTTCTACTTAGTTCAATTTCAGCAATCCTCAGCTTCTGCATAGGCACTAGTCACGCTCCAACTAGCTGCAAATGGAATCAGTGGCAAAGGTGTATACCATCTTGCCAATGCTCTTATCGAAAATACCGTAGGAAACATGATTTGCTCAACGTATCATTCTTAGAGACTTCAACTTTGTTTACAGACACTTAACACACTGAATCTTGATTCCAATAAAATTGGAACTGATGGAGCACAACATCTGGGAAATGCACTATGCAACAACTCGGTATAATCTCGTTTTCTACTTATTTTCCTCGTTATTAACTTGGATTTTTGCATAGAAACTCGTCGCATTAGATCTGCGTGGTAATAATATTGGAAGTCATGGTGCACAACATCTAGCCAAAGCTCTTATCAACAATAAAGTAAAAATATCATTTTCGACTTACCCAATGGTTATCAATTTTGCCTATTGATCTAGATACTCAGCATCATGAACTTGGAAGTGAATCAAATCCGAAACGAAGGAGTAAAATATCTTTCTGATGCTCTATACGAGAACACAGTAAAAGAATATCGACTGGTCATTTCATTGGCAAAGATTTTCAATTTCTAAACAGACACTTACCACACTTAATCTCAGTTCGAATGAAATCGATGACGACGGAGCATTATGTCTTGCGAATGCTCTCGTCAACAACAGAGTAAAATAAGATTTTCTACTTCTGTCGCTCTTAACAATATTTAATTCTCTTATACAGACACTCACCAAACTTGATCTTATTCAAAATCAAATTGGAGATGAAGGTGCACATTATTTTGGTGATGCTCTCACAAAAAACACGGTTAAAATAAGCTCTTCTATATAATCTAGCAATTCATCATTTCGAGTTTTCAAGTAGACACTAACCACACTCAATATTCATTCCAATCGAATCGGAAATCAAGGTGCAAATAATCTTGCTGATGCTCTCAAAAACTATACGGTAAACTACTATTTTCGACTCAGCTAACTTTTAATTATCTTAATGCTTAATGCAGGCGCTAAGTATATTCTTGTACGATGAATTTTTTCATGAAGCACCCAGGGACGACTGGTACTAATTTTGAAAACTTCAAATCAGCATTGTCATGAATTTGAGTGCTTCACATTTTTCCAAGTTTAAATAAATCAGTAATTTCAGGAGTCAATTTAATTCTGACGTTTCTCTGTATGTCGATGATTTTCAATTACTCACACGCATGGGAAAATGGTCGGTGTTCCATTGCTTTGTTTTTTTTTGTGTCACCAAGTGTGGGTGTGTGAAGTTTGAACGTAATTGAAGACGAGAAGACGCTTCGCACCCACACCTGCAAGATAGTATAGAGTTCTTGTATTTTTCCAAAACATTCATCACAACTCTGGCGACATGTCGAGCAAAGGTTTTTTCAAGATAAGCCCAGTATGATATTGCCACGCAAACTAATTACTGGAACAAATTGTCGCATACTGGATACTTGTATTCGTGACTAACTGTCAAGTTCATCTCTTGTTGAGCTTTACTCTTCCAGGTTGTGTTCTATTACCTATAGTTCCGGTCGTTTGTGGTCATCACAACGCACATATGATAGTCTCACATTGTGTATTGTTTTAATTAATTGCACATAATCATATTCGATTTTGTACAGAAATGAGAAGTTACTCATATTGCATGTCGAGATAGTGAATATGTGTTTGAATGAGGAGTGAATCTGAGTTTACATTTATATCTATGCTACACTTCACACACTTGTTCATGCAGAGCACTTCTCATGAAGGATAGTATAACAGAAGAACAAGTTACGAGCAACTCTACACATAGTATTTTTATTTTATTGGAATAGGATTCATTAAAATATCATATTGCGATGAATCAGATATACAATCAAACGATTATGTCTTCCAAAGTTGGTACGTGTATAATTTCAAAATCGAGATGGACAAAAGCTCTTTCAACATGCGGTATTCTTTGTAGTTGTCTTTGTAGCTCCTCTCCGGCATTATGAGCAATAGCGAGAGGCGTTGAACCGGACAGAATAATCTCAACTTCCACAATAAAATCTGTACCATGATGAACAGCTTGAACAGTTTTAATTTGTGTCACAAGATCAGGACGGAAGTTGTAGATGATATGAGTAATTCGTTGAAGAAAGAACGGATCTGCCGTAAGACCCGTTAACCGACGAACTTGTTCTGTGCAAAAGAAAAACAGGTTACATAATAACTATTTCAATAAAAACAAAATTATTGTCACGAACGGCCTGACAATTCAAGAGATGCTATGAGACGCAATAAAAGTTTATGCCTTCAGTTGGTAGGGAAATTTCATGTATCGTAACATTTAGCACTTACTGTGGCCTTGTCGAATCCAAACGACTATTATGTAAATTGAAATAATGATCGCTGCTATTGGATCAACAATAATTGCTTCTTGTCTGATCCTTCGCTGCAGAGCATTCGAACCTAAAAATCAAAAAATTAGAAACACGTTACTCCTGTTTTCATAGAATTCTCAACAACAATTCAAAGACATATAGATCAAAATGCTCAGAAGTTGAAATGCGGAGAGGCTGCTTGAAAGACCTTGCTTTCGAGTTTGTTTTGACTGATGAAACGTTTTTTTCTTATATCTATCAACGTTTAGCAATAGAAAAATTATTAAAACAGAAGGCAACTTACATCAGAATTCGATGGGTTGAAGGATCAGCGAGAAAACAATAGTTTTCTTTAAAGCTCTAGATTTTCATTTTTTCACAAACATTTTACAACTTACGCGTTTGAAAAGTAGTTTTAGCAATATGTATTCGATTGCACAACATATTTTTATTATATAAAAGCATTTTTTTAATATAAACAAGTTGCTACGTTAACAAGATCTGAAGTGCAGTTTCGAAAGTGGGACGCTATAATATGAACACGAGTAAAATGAAGTTTTGATTCTTATTCGCAATAGATCCATCTCATCTAACGTTTTCTCGTGTCTACATATACTGTTAATCAGACGGTATATAATTACCGATAACTCCGCACACAAGTGCCACAGAATTTGATAACACATCATTCCGGTTGTCTTCAGCCAGAGCGGACATCGTTGGATTGTTGATTCGAGAACACAATGCAAAAAGAATGATTTTAGACACTATTAATGAATGCATAAGAACGTCTGTTCACGGGGAAATATAAAACTCACCAATTGTGAATACCATGGCGATAACTGGCAATGTGCTCATATCAATATGCTGAAGTGTTCTACAAGATGATGCATTGAATGGATTAGCAAAGTAATCGATATCTAGAGCTAAAGCTCTACTGCTTTCAAGAATCACCTCGATACTAGCTGAGCACATGATTACAGATATAATAACAATAGTGACCGGTTCAAGGCGTGTTCTTCCTAAAAACACACCATAGAAAAAGTGCCTGGAAAAAGTCTCATCACAAATCACCTGTAGGATATTTGTAGGCATCTTGTCGTTTGATTTTTCGGGCTGTCCAAATCAACATGATGTTAAACAAAAGATCAACAGCACTATCCACGAGTGTGGAAATCACCGAGAGAGATTTTGACATGATAGCAGCCACTGTTTTAATGATCGCTACAAACTTTCATTTAACAGAGAGAGTTGCTGTGCAACGATTTAAACAAAATAGAACTTACAATATTGGTAATTAGAGTCAGCATACTCAGTATTTCACTATTGCGTTCCTGTTGCTTTTGATAATCCGTCGGGTTTATTTCTTCACCAAAAGTCTTTGGCAAGAGGATAGCTTCGACAGAATTGATAAATTCAAGTTGATCAGCATAGAATTGTCTATATATATATACAAGGAAAATGTGAGAAATGAAAACGAATAACTTAGAAAGCAGATCCGTTTGGACAAAGAAAGTTCTTCATCAAATTCCATCTCATATTAGTTTACTGTTACCTGATTTTTTCTGGAAGAGATTTATCGTTTGGCGTGCAGGATGGCTTATACGATTGAATATGTTCTAAGTAGCCATATTTAGCTGGAGATCTAGGTAAAAGACGTGCATTGGGTTCATCCATTTCTTTCACAGTACTATCGTCAACGTTTACTGGAGATGATTTTCCAGCACAATCAGCAAATAAAGGAACAGATTCACTTGAATCGATCGGTTTGTTTGATGGGAATCGCAAAGGATCAATACCAGATACTTGTCGTGTTTCCTCTACTGTAGACATATCCATATTCTTGAGTTTTTCTTTTTTGAATGGCTGTAGTATACCACGCGTTGCCTTTGTTTGTATTATTTATGCCGGATTTTCCAACTTAACTGAAATTACAAGCGTAGTACAGGAGGCAATCAGTCAGTAGCGTTTGTGTCCGTTTTTGAATATAAATTGATTGACAAAAATGACATAGACATTATCATTTTTTAGTAAACAATTGTTTCTTTTTCTGCTCACATTTTTTGCATGACGTTGCCTTCGTCGGATATTGATGTACATGGGGCACAGAATGTCGGTAAATTTGTGCAAAATAAAACACATGTACTCTTTTTTTTGCTTTTCTCTTTTCTTTTTTCAACACATATATTGTGATGAACGAGCGCAAGTGAAGCGTCGCCTCGTTCTGCGTCATCGTCATATTGGTTTCACTATCTATTGGTAAAGAGCAGAGAAAAAGTACATTACTTACTGTATGGGCACATCCGATATATGAGTTTATGAAGCAAAAGTGGTGCTATGTGATATGAAAAAATCTTGAGACTTGCTAAACGCTTAACAGTTTGAATTTTCTTATTTCATAACTTAAACCATCTTACTGATGCGTTTGCGTTTTTGCTGTTGTATATGTCATATTCTCCGATGCAAACGGTAATGGTTAGCAATTGTTTTAATGCACCGAATCTATAAGAACCAGACATGAACATTTATATATGATGATTGATTTGATTGCAAACAGAATCGCGAAGTACTGAACACGAAAAAAAACAATTACAAACAAGCGATGTGGTATATTAGATAATGGATAAAACTCTTTTGTTCAGAAAACAAGTTCAAATAAAGAGTTCAAGCTGTTTTTTTAGAACTTATGATTAGATTGTAAAAGTGGTCGTGTTGCTTTTCGCTTGTAATAACCGAAAGGACTTCTTCAGCAACATTGGCATACGAAGAACAAGCAAAAAGGCACACCCATAAGTAGATAGCTAGTCATAGAACGTCTTGAATTTGTTTCATGAAGGGTGTTATAGAAGTTCTGTTACAATTTTGAGGCTCATTGTTCTCACATTTGGAGATGATGGTACATGTCAAGTACTGCACCACTGCAAAGTTTGATGTCCATAGCTTTTGCTGTTGATGAGAGTCAGTAATCGCGTTGTCGGGTACTATTTTTTCAATTTTCCTCGTCATCTTGAGTATGATTTTACAAACAATACAGCTTAAAAAGATGCAATAAAACATAAATCAAGTTATCATATTGCTGCTGTGTTGAATCACCACTAGGTGTATAACAATTCTCGAATCAAAGTTCAGATCAAATGAGCGAAACAACTATTAGGGCCCACACTGGAATGGTGTCTATATCGACATAGGCTTCTTTTCTAGGATCTGATTTGATCTGCTTGAACAGTTCTTCAGGTTAGATCATGAAAACTGAACTGGCATACCCCTGCTAACCTATCTAAAACCATTAGCAATATGGCTCGACAACGAGCTTGTACGATGGAATATCACCGAAACACGAGTGCATTCGAGACAATATGCAACAATGAAATTATAAAAGTGATAGCTAATGATCTACATTTGGACCCAAAAAGATTATTGAACACTGAGAACATTATTTCACAGTGTATTTAATATAATTTCAGTTTCCTCATTCTATCGTTGGTTTTATTTCACTGTTTTCGATTTATCATATATTTCTATTTATTTTTCCATTGATCTATTTGACTTTTTAATTCCACTACCTTTGAAAGAGTTTTTTGATTGTGTCAGGGTTTTATTCATCGGTGAAATTAAACTCTACATTCATTTGATTTTCGAGTTTCCGGTGGTTTTGAATTGATTCCAAATTTACTTGATGAACATCTGGCTAAGTGCTGGTCGAAAAGCATCATAAGTAGCTTAGAATTCAAACGGAAACGCACCCACGCACTCTGGATAGAGCAGCTGCCAGCGTAGTTTTGTGCACAAAACGTGAAATATAAAGAAATATTTCACCTGAACTGTGTTACTACGTGTTTTATTGTTGCGAATTACACGTGAGACGAAAATAAATCAAATGGGAATGAAGAGAAGAACGACACAAGAAACCCCTCAGTGGATTAATGTTATCTATTCGCATATCTATAAGATGTCCTATGCTTATATTATCTTATCCGTTATCACTCGTGGTTCAATCGAGCGTATCTCTATCAGCAACACCATAATAGCAGCATTATATTCATTTTTTTGTTTGTATACTGAAAGGTGACTATGGAGGGTGTGCGTGTGGCTATAGCTGTCGGCGTGAGTATGAGTGAGAATGTGATTTTAAGTGGAGTTCTCAAACATACTCCCACACCCACACCCTCAAGATTTTTGAAGTGCCCACATATTCATTGACATATATTTAACTTTCCAAAAATCGAAGGAACTCAAGTTAATTTCATAGAAACAAATCATACTGGAAGATCATCATGTTTCTTCGAGTTCTAGAATCAATATTTTCTCGAGGAACACTTTATTTTGGAGAAAAAGAGTATAGAAGTTTGACAACAGAAGGCACTAAAGAGTTCAAAAAAACGAGGAAGACAATAATGTGTTACAAAAAAGAAAGTACAAATTCGTTCCATGTTAGAAGTCAAGGCACACATTCGGTTTATATTTTAACTTCAGGCATTGTCATTTGTTCTAGTCGTTTACTAACGTTAGTCATAAATGGCATTTTAAAATCAGTAAAATCAACTTCCCAACCAAGACGATCACGTACAACGGCTTTTTCATGTAAAAGTTCTTTTGTTGTTGGTAGATCTGTCCATTTTGTCTTCGGATGAAAAGCAATGGATTCCGTGTTTTCAAAGGATTTAGCTAATTCAGCAGCAGCACGTAATAAAGAGCCACGTCGTGGTTGCTGAATAGCTGATGTTTGTTGAGCAGCTGCTGCTTGCTAAACAAGAGAAAAGAAAATCAATGAAATACACGGTGTGATTTTTTTGTGAGAATTTAATTACCGTATCTGTCTTGGTACTTTTTCCCCCTGATTGTTGTCGTTTCTTTGCTGATGCTGATCCACTTTTCTTTCTATTAGCACTTTTAGGTTTATTTCCGGAGCTGCCATTTACTTTTTCATTAATCAAATGATAAATACGTGGATCAGCAAATTCAGCGGCAACAGTTAACGGTTCTAGACCAGAAATATTTTCATGTGAAACTTTAGCGCCTTTATTAACAAGATATTCGCAAACTGGAAATGATGAACTTTCAATAGCGCGCATTAAGGGTGTTGCTTTCGTTATTGATTCAGCATTTATTGCTCCACCGGCTTCGACAATAGCTTGAACAACATCAAGAATACCACTATGTGCAGCATGATGGAGTGGTGTCCATTTAAAATTATCTATTTTATTAACATCAGCCCTAAATATACCGAAGAGATTGAAAAAAGAAAAAGAAAACAATTTTCTTTTAATTTACCCGCATGTCAGAAGAAATTGAACTGTTTTCAGATCACCATGAGCACAAGCTAGAATCAATGAAGTTTGTTTTTTAGCAAACAGAAAAATGATAAAAATACTATTAGTTACTTACCCACCATCAATGGTGTTTTCATAAACTTGTCTTGTATATCGACTTGTATACCTCGCTTATATGCGTTCAACAATGTTTGTAAATCACCGCGATAAGCTATTAAGAAAGACAGAGAGAGAAAAAATAGTATCTTTATTAATAGTTTTCTTTTTCTTACCAGCGTCGCATAAATTAACATAACCTTTATCAGGTTTATCCAAATACCATGGTGAATCATCTTCTAAGGGATTTTTTGGTAAATTATCACGAGAAAATCTTGTATTATCTGTATGATGAATGTGTTGTGGTGCATAGATAGTTGGTGGATTGCCATTGGCTGTTCGGGGACCTTCATCTTGAATTCCAACTACAAATCAAAGAAAAAATGATTTGTAGATATTTTGAGAAAAGTACTCATGTAAAATGGTCATCGCTTACTTGGTAGAGCACCTTTTTGTTTCTTTGCTTTTTTTGGTTTCTTCTTTTTTTTCTTTTTTCCGGCGAATGCAGCCATTAAATAAGGTTTTGTTAAATATTTCTTTCCAGTTAAAAATGCTTTATAATCAAATTCGCTTCGTTCCTTTTCATGTTTTTCACATATATCTTTTAAGTCATCCGGTTTAAGAAATCCAAGAAATCCTTCGTCTTCAATAACTTTCTTAAAACCATCCGTTGGTATAACGCCCGTTTTTTGTTCAGTAACATCGAGTTCTTCGAAGATTTTTTCAAGTCGTTCTTGATTTTCACATACATAATCATAAAGCATTAATCTCCAATCACGAAATTCATCTATATACATACACAAATTTATATTAAATAGAGAAATTCTACCAATGCTTAATTACTTTTGAGTCAAGCGACTATTTTTAAATCGAAACTATGCTTCTACTCAACGTATTTTAGGACTCAGATTTTAGGTTTTGTACTCAATACATATTAGTAGAATTATTTGAGAAGCCTGTGCTCGGTCGAGATTTGTATATTGTGTAAACCAGAACAATTTTATTTTACCGCACACTTATGATAATCACTTGTAAGGCATACTCGTCTTTTTTCAAGGATAAAGAGAATGAGTTATATTTTTAAATTTTAAGAATCAATAAAAAAACGTCACAACAAGGACACAATCACAAACAATAAAAACACACTGCTTATCCTAATTCTAGTCTTTAATATCATTCTGCCGATTTGTTCAGAATTTTCTATGGGGATATAATTTATGGTCAGTAAAATAAATGAAACGGTTAGTAAATTACTTAAATGGTCAGTTACAAATTAATGAGGTTTGCAAATAAATTTAAAGATCACTAAAAATGTTTTTTTCACAGTCAATTTTTCTAAAGGGTCAGTATTAAAATTAGAATAGCAGTAGAGTCAATCGCATTTGTTCCTCTTTCTTTTTTCTCTCAGCTATTCTACATACTATGTTCACATTATTATGTCCTTGTTCTTGCTTCTAACCTTTATTTTGTGAATAAGAAGAATCTTTTTCTTTAATTTTTCTTCTTCTTATTCATTATCTAAAATAAAACAAAAGCATCCTCTCGACTTCTTGTCTGGCAGTTGTCTTTATCCATCTTCATGCATAGATATTTAATATTTTTCAAATAAAAATAACATATTTAACGTTTACAAAATGAGACGTATTTTTAACTATGCAAGTGAATCAAATTGCTCAGTATGAAAACGATATATCAGATGAAGAGGAGATTGAAGAAGATTATGAAATAAATGGAAATAGAAGAACCCTTGAAAAAAGACATCATATAGTTGGATTAAAAGATGCATTTGATAATACTGATGAAGCAGAAGCATCAACTGAAAATCAATTGTCAAAACATTACACACACTATACAGCAGATGGGATAAAAGTATATTAGAGGTGCACAAAAAGCAAAAAACATCGTGATCATCAATGTCTTCCTGAGGCGATTTTCCCCCCGTATTCTTGACCTGTGAAGACTTCAAGATTTGCCCATATCGCATAGATTTCTTGATCCAGAAGCTCAAGAAACTCCTGCACATTAGCAAGACGGCTTCAGTAGGGCTTTAAGTATTTATCTATTATATCATGTAGATCGTGATAGAGTAGCCGTGTATGAAACGGCATCTGAATACGAACATCACGATGGCGCATTTCGAGGTGTTGATGAAGTTGTTAAAAATTAAATAGAAGATTTATTTGAACTTAATTTCTACTGGTAACGCTTAATTTTTTACTGACCAATTCTTTTTTTTACTGACCACTTAAATGGTAGCCATTTTCTATTGGTTTTAAGAGCAGGATCCTAGAAAAATTCATCTTGTGAATTACAACTTTGAAGAAAACGAGATGCTGTAAAAATTCAATGTCTAGAAAATAACGAGATAACTGTTCCAAACCTAGTTTGGGTATTCATTAGAATCTTCATACTATGCATAGTCTTCAATTCACAGCGTGCAATCAGTCGGAATGTGGATATTTACCTGGACGTAGATTCGCTGTCATATCAGTGAAGCCTTTTTCTGCTTTTCGCATATTTTTCTTGGCATCTTTTGCTTTATTTTGATCGGCAATCTTTTTTGGAATAAGTCCTTCATTATTTTTAGCTTTTGGATTACAGCCTAAACAGAAATATGAATCAATATAAAAGTCTATGGAATCTTTTCTACGAACCTCGTTGACCCAAAAATCGAATTGCATTGCCAGCATTTGATGCTGCACCATAATGAATAGGATTATTATTAAGTGCATCGTACACATCAAATTTTGCTCCATAACCGGATAGAACTGCAATAGCCTACAAAAATAAAATGATCTATCCATTAGATATCAATAGCTTTTGAAATGATAGATCTAATAACCTCAAAATGACCACCTTTAGCTGCTTCATGAACAGGCGCTGATCGTTTAGTATCTAAGGCATTTGGATCAGCTTTTGCACGTAGAAGTTCTCGTACAACTTTTGCATTTCCTGATAGACAAGCATTATGTAATGCTGTTCTTTGTGTTTTCTATAATAAAAAAAAATGATATTTCTTCTCCGATAAAAAGAATCAATTAATTATTTCTACCTCATCAACCAGATGGACATTGGCTCCTGCACGAATCAAATCAATACAAAAATCTTCTTGGTCATTAGATTTTGAACAAGCATAAACCAAATTTGGTACACCATTACGTGCTCGATTATTAACATCGGCACCCATTTCAAGTAAAATTTTTAAGCAAGCTTTATGACGCTGTGTAGGTTCAGTAAAACAATAATAAATAGCATCTAGACGAGAGAGATATGGGTTATGCATTTTGTTGAAAATTCAATTTTCAAACCTTGTCCTTCAAGATTTTGTATTCTTGGATTTGCTTTGGCGTCACGTAATAATTGTAAAGCATTAACATGACCATATTCAGCGGCATGCATGACAGCTGTACGACCAGCAAAATCAATAACATCAGGATGAGCACCTAGCTGTAACAAATATTGTATCATTTTTTCATTATTTTGTGTTACAGCTGCTCTAGAAGGAAAAATATATAGTGCAGGAGAAGAGCCATTTTTAATTTAAAATATATTTATTACATTAGTGCAGTCATTCCATTTTGTGGATCGTTGTAGTTGACAAGATGTTCGACGCCTTTGTCACATAATTTTTGTACTTGTTCAATTTCTTCTGTTCGTACTGCATAAATTAGCTTTTGCACTTGTAATATTTCAACACGATCTCGGGCGATTGGCATTATTTTATTTATTTACATAATAAATAAAGGGAGAAACGAAAAAAATAATAATAAGGCACCAAGTTATAGCATATAAAATAAATAAAATCTAAAACAGTATTAAAATTTTTCTATCAACTATGAATAAAATATTTAATTTTAATGTGTTCAAAAGAATGTCGTCGTTTGAAATTAGCTCATACATTTTCTAAAAAATTATTATGCATTAATCTAAATTAAAGAAATTGTTAGAATGTTCGAGAATTTTGTTGTAAATAATAATTCGACTTATTTTCATCGGGCTTAGTCGAAATTTTTATTTTTTCAATTTTTACAAATATACTACGTGGAAAAATTCATCTTTGGTTACATGCTTACCTACACAAACTATTATAAATCGATATAGATCAAGTGAAGATTATTTCTGTACTTTCATCATTTGCGTACATGTCAATATGAACTAGTTGACTTATGCGCTCAACTATATCTTCCAGCTAATCCTAAGAAAATTTTTTACATAGTTGCTTAAAGAATACTGATGATACTGCACTGTTTGATGTTTTACGTTACTTCACTTTTGTAATACTTAATCGAAGTCGAGAAGTGAAAAATGTATCGTCTTATTTCAAAAACAAACATTTAAAGTTGTTTTTTGGTTTTGTCATATGCATGTTGGTTGTCATGGAAGCGATCCTTTCTTTTTTTTCACCACTTAAATGATCAATGCATTGTCGCTATGATGCATAATAGAAAATAAATGGAGGAGAACGATATCGAATCAGTTTACTTTAGAAAAAACTGGAATTTGTTGAATTTTCTAGAAAAATCTCGATTATTCGACATAGACATAAATAAGAGTATCTGTTTTTTAGATTTTTTTTTCATCAGTATTAGTCATCATTTATATCAAAATGGCTTCACAGGTATTGTTCCTAATGCTACGTCCGCCAACTCTGAGTACTATGATTGATATATTTTAAGGTCGAAGAACTCAAAGCAAAAGCAAATACTGCTTTTTCATCAGGAAAAAATGACGAAGCAATTAGTTTATATTCTCAAGCAATAGCACTCGATGATAAAAATCATGTGCTCTATAGCAACCGATCAGCTGCATATGCAAAATCGAATAAATACGAAGAAGCATTACAAGATGCTGAAAAATGTATTTCCGTCAAACCGGATTTTGTCAAAGTAAGATAATGAAAAACAATTTCCGCTCGTAATTAAATCCATTTGTTTTTCGCCGTAGGGCTATTCACGGAAAGGTGCCGCTTTGTCATTTCTTAAACGATTCGATGAAGCGATCACAGTTTATGAAGAAGGCCTCAAGATCGATCCTAATAATCAACAATTATTAACTGATCTTGAAACAGCGCGAAAAGATGCAAATGGACCTTCGGCTGGTGGATTGAATTTTTTCAGTGATCCACAATTTTTAACACAACTGATGACTAATCCAAGGGCACGAGAACTTTTGAAAGATCCCGAAACAGCTATGCTGATGAAAATGATGCAACAAAATCCAAATAATCCATCGTAATTTATTGACATTGGAAAATAGTTGATTGAAACATTAGTTTTTGTTTGCTTGTTTAGACTTTTAAGCAATCCAAAAATAATGAAATTACTTGGTATTGTACTTGGTTTTGAGCTTGGAGACGAGAATGATCTCAATTCAAAGATGGATACAGAAAATGGCGGAAATTCAGCGAAAAAGGAGCCAAATACTTCAACATCGAAACCTACCACAAGTAAACCAAATGAACAACCGAAAGCGGCAGCAACTGAAAAAAATACAGTAAGCAATTTTCTTCGTTTTTCCTTTAATACAGTTTTTGCTGTTTATTTTAGGCCGAATCAGAAAAAGAAAAAGGAAATGAAGCATACAAAAAGAAAGATTTTGAAGCAGCATTGAATCATTATAATAAAGCAACAGAACTCGATCCAGTTAATATGACTTATTATACAAATAGAGCCGGTTAGTTGATATTCATTGATTTTATTCTTCTTGTATGTGTGATACTTTTTCTTCTAGCTGTCTATTTTGAACAAAAACAATGGGATGCTTGTGTCAAAGAATGTGAAAAAGCAATCGAGGTTGGACGTGAGAACAAAGCAGATTATAAATTAATTGCAAAGTAAGATACTTGAACTTTCGCCGAGTATTCTACATACAGCGCTATGATACAAACTATAGGTTTCGGTAGCTTTTTGAGAAATAGAAAAAACACCTCAAATTAGAACGTAATAATTTTCAATCTTCAAAATTGGTGTTTTTTGCTATGCAAAAGAAAAATCTGTCAACGAGCTTCTTCAGTCCTTGACAACTCTTTTCATCCATTTTGATGGCTGCAGGATATTCCTGACGAAGATAATGATTGAGAAATGCTCTGTTAATTGCACGAGGAATTACAATGTACCGATTATATGTAATAATAAGAACGGCACGCGTCTATAATGAAATTCATGTTTAATCCTACGTCGTGTGTCGTATAAGATTAAAATCAGAATTATGCTTGATCTTCATTGAAAAGAGATTTCCATTCTGAAACAGAAAAAAAGATGTTTAGCTTCTCTGCAAATTTCATATTCATTTATTTCGTTTTTGTTAGAGCATATGCTCGTATCGGTAATGTTAAAACTCAAGAAAAAGATTATGAAGCTGCTGTAAAATTCTATAATCATTCACTATCGGAACATCGGAATCCAGATATATTAAAGAAAAAACAAGAAATCGAAAAAATCTTCAAAGAACAAGAACAATTAGCGTATATCAATCCTGAATTAGCTGAAGAAGAAAAAAACAAGGGTAATGAATTTTTCCAAAAAGCAGATTATCCAACCGCACTTAAACATTACACGTAAGTAGATCGAGCGACGCTTTTGTTTGATTTTGATATTTAAAAGAATTGATTTTCTAGCGAAGCTATTAAGCGAAATCCTAATGATGCTAAACTTTATTCAAATCGAGCAGCTTGCTATACAAAATTAATGGAATTTCGATTAGCCATGAAGGATAGTGAAGAAGGCATTAGACTTGATCCAAATTTTAGTAAGTTCCAAGAATAAAGTAATCAAGACTAAAGAATGTTTTCTTTTCTCCTAATTTCTAGTTAAATGTTATCTACGCAAGGGCCACGCTTTATTGGCTATGAAAGATCTAGGTCAAGCTATGGCTACTTTTGGTAAAGCTCTTGAAATTGATCCAAATTGTCAAGTAACTATTTTGTTTTTAATTCAATAGAATTATCCTTTATTTATTATTATTTCTTTCTAGGAAGCTATCGAGGGTTATCGACAATGTTCATTGAAATCAAGTGATGATCCTGAAGAAGTTCGTAAACGAGCCACTAATGATCCGGAAATTCAACAAATTCTTGGTGATCCTGGTATGCGTTTAATTCTTGAACAAATGCAAAATGAGCCCCAAGCACTACGAGATCATTTACGAAATCCTGCCATCGCCCAAAAAATTCAAAAATTAATCGATGCTGGTATTATTGGTATTCGTCAAGGTTAATTTTATTTCTTCAAATAACTTATCATCTCGCCTATCGTGTGCATGTATGTGTGTAACCAAGATACGATGATGACAGAATTCTTTTTCTTTCTGTTTTTTTGTTAAAGTTTTCTTATGACGTGCTTTTTCTCTTCTTTAATGTTCCTGTTACACCTGTGACTGCTGCGTTTTAGCACAAAACAAAAACGTATGATGTTAGAAAAAAAAAACAATTCAAACTCGATCATCTAAAATTCATTATTTTTCAAGTTAATAAACGTGTCTAAAATGCGTTCATTCAACGAAACTCATAAAGAAAAACAAACAGTTCTGTTTCTTGGCCTCATACGATGAACGTATCATTTCAAGAAGAGTATCGAACTTTTCTGGTTCCTGCTTTCGGCTACCATTTTATCGTGTTTTTAATAAGTTTCGAAAATGAGATATGCAAATTGTTTGAAAGAAAATGAATTCACAGTAGCCGTGATATTATTATTGCATCTGACAGTAATTCAAGACGTTGTTTTTCTCTTATTTATGATGGCATTATATTTCTGCACGATTAAGTGTGAGCAACAACATGATGTGGCAAAGATCACAATCAAAGATTTAATCTCACATACATGTAAGATAAGAGTTGAGCTCGGCAAGTGTACCATTGTGATAACAGTAAATCTCAGCAGAGGACTTCAGTAAATAACTAGATGGTATTCAAGTTTCATTCGAATCAAATATTCACGAAAAATCTTCAATTCAGAGAGATCTTGAATACTTTTTATGTCGACATGATGAAATTCATCACTGAGAAAACTCTATTCTTACTTAGCGATACATTCTTAAGGGTCGATTTCGATTGACGTCACTTTAGTTATCTCGCAATAAATTTCTTTCATTTTCGTCATTTTGGAACAACATTTGTGAGTGAATGGAACTTCAGATTGAAGATTCAAAAATAGATATAAGCAGTTTGAACGACCCTTCTATGATCTATGGTTCTCGAGATCATTGCAACACAAAACGACGAGATGTGATGCGTACGTCGAGAAAGAAAAAGAAAACTCGCGACCGACTACATAAATGCTATGCTTCGCATCGCATTAAAAAAGAAAAAGTCATATTTTTATATTTACCATTATTATGTCTTGCTTCAATGAGAAAAAAGTGGGGAAAAATGATTGAATATTATTTAATGTATTTTTTGTTGCATATTCTCCTGTTTTATTTGAATTGAAACATCTACAGTGAAAGTAGAAATCAACATATAGAGAAATGCTTATACACATGAAGATGAGAATTGCACTACAAAGAAGAAGAAGAAGAAGAAGAAGTGAAAACAAATCAAGTTTGTTAACAACCAACTGAACACTAACACATAACTAACGGTATGGTATCAAGAACACGATGAAGATTAAGTAGGTAACTTACATAAGCAATGTTAATGAAAATTCTGTATTTTTTTCACATAAAAAAGCGGCTACAGTGGAGAGGAAAAGAAAAACAAAGCGCACAACAAGAATGCAGACTAAAAACTTTTTCTTGCAGGAATATGATCTCAAATGTTTTCTAAGCTACGATTTCTAACACTTCTTATTTTATTTTATTTTTTTATAATTTTAGGCAGAGCTGGTTGCATTTCCCGCTGATGTAGAAGCTGCCTTTTTGGTTGTTCCTGTAGCTGATGAACTTGCTTTACCAGCACCCATTGATGCACTCTTTGTTGTAAGAGCTGATGGTGTTCGAGGTACTGTAGTTGTATTTGAGCGAGATGCATCTGACTAAAAAATTCACGAAGGCAAACAACATATTTATTTGAAGTTTGATTTGCTTTTTTTTATTAAACATTACCTTAGGTGCCGATTGGCTATGATCATCACTGCCTGATTTCGATTTGAATAAAAATGAATTAATATGTGGTAAAACACCACCTAAATGAATAAAAATGAAATTCAAAATGCTGCCTTCTAAAAATGTACTCTCTCACCTTGTGGAATTGTTACACCATTAAGAAGCTGAAAAAATATGTACAGATATTGAATTTGCTTATGGAAACAAAATTAGCTAGAAACCTTTTTGAGTTCTTCGTCAATGCTAACAGCCAAAAATACATGTCGAGCATTGATACGCTGTTTTTTATGATCCTTCGCTGCATTACCTGATAATTCGAGAACTTCAGCAGTTAAATATTCAATCTAAATTCAAGCACAAGTAGATACATCATTCATAGAGATTTTACAAACCACAGCAGCTGTATAAACGGCAGCAGCCATAGTTACACGACTCTTTGGAGAACTCTTTTTAATATAACGATGAAAACGTGGCACGGAAAACAGAACACCTTTAAATATACATATTCACAATTATCATATGAAAAGAATTATTTAAATCAGTAGTCAAATTAACCTGCACGAGCCGATTTCGATTTTCGTTCGCCACCTTTACGAACACCTCTTGGCGTTGTTGTTGCTGTTGGAGCCATATATTATTTTTTTTTATAGATAATCTACAATAGGAATACAGAATTTTGAGGAATATTTTGTCAGTCTATCATGTGCGCATAAATCAAGTAGACATAACTATCAGACACGAGCCTTCAAAATGAGGGTGCTCATTTACATATGCTTGCTTTCTGTATCCAACGTAGACAAACATACGCATCCAGTTCAGACTCAGAATACACAGGAGAACGAAAAGACAGAAGAACAAAATACTGGTCGCAACGTTTAAAATTAAGATTCAAGAAGAGAAAAGAAAGAAAAAAGAAATATATAATTTCAATATGCGACCTTCTTAACTACTTTAATAAATTGAACTTATGCCTCCATGATGAAATGTGGTTTCTATTGACCATATTGGTTTTAGCGCCACTAGCGCTGCTTGCCAAAACGTTTAGAGGAAATTTCTAATAGTTAGCAGTATCTGTTTTGAAAGAAAACTACTTAAAAAAAAATCGAAAAACCATTCTCGAATGGAATATGATGTTTTGGAGCGAAATAAAATACCCGCGAGACTTGTTTGGCCAATAATCATCGTCGGGATGAAACCCTACGGCACCATTAGGGCGGACAAATGTCTGAAGTTTACATAAAGAAAAAAGCTCTCAGTTATATACGATTCATACAGACAGAAGCACTTCAATATCATATAGACTGATTGAGCAAACTTTCTCCTGACATCCACTGATTGTCACGAAGCGATTTTTTAAAGATTTGTGGTGATTCAAGCTTTGTCGTCTTTCGCTAGAAACTCTCAATCATGATTCAAAATGTGACGACATTCTCTGTATTCGTTTTATGGATTTTCAGCAGAATATAAGCAAAGATCTGATATAGATTTCAAATCTTTCTATGACTGAAACTTGAATTATTGGCGAATGCATTTTCGCAGCTTCCAACAAATATGATCGCATAAATTCCATGGTCAAGATTGAAATTTATTTCATTGCAATAATGTTCTTTTCTTCTCGTTGTTCTGGCATACGCGTCGATAAGTAGTGCCTAGAGCAGCATGATTTCTGAGGATTCGTTCGATCAAACAGTAAACATACACTGTAGAAAACAATGAGCGAGACAATCAATACAAGGAACATATGTTTTGAAGATCATATTCCTAATGCGAATTTTGAATAAAACCTTCCAACTGTGTTTTTTTAGTTCTGCTATTATGGTATAAAGCAATTGAAAATGCAATTGAAAAAAGGAAAGAAAATAGTGTTTTTTGTATTTTTCAAGTTCGTTTTCTGTTGTCAGAAATACCACGTGGTCGATGTAAAAAAAAAGTAAACCGAAATCGAATGGCGCATAATGATTAACATTAAATCCTGCAGGCGAATAAAACGCAAAGAACATTGTGCATAGTTTACCGATCGAAATTCTGCTAATCTTGATGACTTATATTTTAAACTATTTAGATGATATCCACGTATCAAATGGGCGTATCAACGGATCGTATCCGTGGCTCGCCAGGACTAAATCTTGACCATCTCGAATGTTGTATTTGTCACGAAATACTCTGGAAACCGGTTGCTTGCCAATCATGTGAAACACCATTCTGTTCGGCATGCATTCGCCAATGGCTGAATGAATATCCGGCACAGTGTCCCAATCGATGTCAAGCATACAATGAACGAAAGTGTCCACCATTTGTTGCTAAAGTACTTTCTCAATTAAAAGTTGCTTGTGTCTACGATTCCAATGGTTGCGAAGAGGTGTTTTAAGAGTAATCCTAGTTTTGTTTTCTTTACGTTTTTCTTTCTCATAGATCATTTCCTATGAAGCATTGGACAAACATGAGGTCGAATGTGGATTTCAACTTCATCGATGCTCTGGATGTCAATCAGAAATATTAAAAAAAGATTTGAATAATCATGAAATTAACTGTGAAGCCATTGAAATAGTTTGTCCTGATTGTAGAATTGTATACAAACGAGGTGATGCTACTAAAATACATACAGAAACTGTTTGTTTAAAAGAACAACTTCGACAACTTCGAAACGAATCGAAAGAGAATAAACGCGAGATACATGAACTCAATCTTCAATTGCATGAAATGCATCTATTGAGTAAGTTTGACATGCTGGATTTGCGTGAGAATAAACTTAATCCAATAGGTCCATGGATAAAGGAAATGAAAATTACATTTGACGATTTACCATTAACTACCGATGAAACAAAACGGATGCCGATTGTATATCGTGGACTGAAATGGAATAACATGAAATATGGATACGAACTATATTTGAGCAAGAAACATCCAAAAAGTGGCTACATCAATTGTTTCACACCTGGTTCTAGTCCAAACATAGCATTTTTCAAGGACGATGTATCATTCGGAGTTGTTACTCGAAATGATAGCATTACTTTTTACTCTCTTACTGCATGTGCTGCTTGGAATGACGATTTGCAATTAACGATTACGGGCTATCGAGGTTCAGTGGAAATCAACAGACACACAGTAACACTGCTCTTTGGTAAACCACAATTTATTCTTCTTAATTGGAAAGACGTAGAAAAAATTATCTTGAAATCAGCTGGTGGTACGGCTCATCCTGATAGCGGTGGATTGTCGGCGACTCATGTTATACTAACTCAGCTAACCATAGGCCCAGCGGATTGAAAAAGTAGAACATAGCTTTTATGAACTAAATTTATTGATGATAGACATTTGTTAATTATAGAGTATTCAATTATCATAGAATTCTGATTTAATCTTGTAATTGGGAATGAATAATAAATATTCTAAGCTCTCGATAAATATATTTTCAAGAAATAATTCAAGATAAGATAATATTTATTAGTAGTTTGCATTTTTCAGCAACAATTGTTGTTACTATTCCATAGGATTGAACTTTTGTTTTTGAATATTCAAGGTTGTCAACTTACTTTCTATGTTGAAAATCGAAAATTTCAAAGCAACCATCACACATCCTGATTCTTGAGCGTTTTACTCGAAAAAAAGATGATATCAAAATTTATTTGCATCTATGCAACTTTAGCAAAACAGACTTTACGAGTTTACTTTTTACTATACCTACCATAAGTATAATGCTTTCCATTTTTTATTATTTTCCCATCTTTATCTGCTGGATGCCAATGAGCTGGCTCCTTTTTCTCGTAATTCACACCGTGATGTACCGGCCGATTTCCTTTACCATCCTTTTGTGCAGCTTCCATCGCTCCCTTTCTACTATTAAATGGAATAGAATGTATTTTAGGGTCTCCACTTGGACCTGCTCCACGCCCAATTACATGACTTTTCGATTTTATATTACCATTTTGATCAGCTAAAAGAATCAGAAAAAGTTTTTTTTTGTTGTGGATCAATTCCTTGCTACATTATCATTGGTCTAGATTTTTCAAGACTTAGCAGGAGAAAATAGTTGGCACAATATAATCTGATTCTGCAATCCGGTATTTTAGTATTTTAAACTCATTATTAGATTTTTCGTGCTCCTGCGAAAAAAACTTACCAACCGCTCAACAACGGTGAAATCGTTTGCTATTTTAAGAGAAGAATAGCTTACAATGGCCCAATGCAGAGCAACTTACTTGTTTGACAATTTTTGTTTGAATCTCCAGATTTTTCCACGTTGCTTGCACTTCTTTTACTTTTAATGTCATTCGACTTTTTTGATAATTTAGCAACATTCTCAGTTGTTTTTGATTTTTTCGATTTTTCTGATTCATCCTTTACACCAGTTCTTCCTTTAGGGTTTGGAGTTAGCATGACACCTCCATACACTTTCATACTTAAATCCGACGAAAACGCTGCTGGTACCCAGAAACATTGTGTCGTATCGTTATTCAGTCGTTGTTCATCATCATGATCTTCATCATCATAATGCAAGCTAAATTTCTCAATGGTAAATTTTAATTTTGCTTTACATTGAATCAGTGATTGTTTAACAAATGTTACCAATGCCGTGTGTTGACCATGTCTTAACCAATCGAGTAGGTATGGTTTAAGATTACTTTTCTTACAAAAGAAATTCTTGCATATATTATTCGATATAGCATTTAGAATCTTTTCATCTGCCTCTACTGATCCGGTAGGATAGTCACCAATTTTGTTCTTAACTTCGGCTAGATAGGTTTCAAATGTTGCATCGTTTTCAATTTGTGCAGCCAGATCACACTGACTTTCATAACGAGACTGAATGATACGTGATAGAACACTTAGTTTCAGCAATTCTTTCAAACGCAATAACTCCGGAAAATATTCACCAATCTCATCGTAATATTTTGTGAAAACACGTGCAAATTCAGCTTCAGCTGACTGATCATTTTCATTATCGTCTTTATCGTCGATTAAATTACCTCTTTCATCATATCGCATTCGATGTTTCTTTACGCACATTTTTATTTTATCACTCAAATAAAATTGTGTTATATTTTCATTGGTTCGACCAAAAAAATTTCGGTAATACGCTTGTTCGTACTCAATCTCGGACTCGGGTTGTATCCAGAAACGATGAATACTATCCGTTAAAAGTTCAGATTTTTTCATTGCAACCGACTGTAGCTCTTCACGTATGTGTACAGGCAATCGTTGCACTAAATTCTCGGAAATTGGACGCATTTCAAATGGTGTCTGTGAACAAATCTCGACACCCGTAGAAATCATTTTTAATAGATAATCTGTATGCAACAGCGTAAGTAAATAGTTTGGTATATCGACTAAACGTTTCGGTAGATATTTCATTTCATTAAATGGATGTGAATGATATTCGACATTCGGCGGATCCAAAGTGAAATAAGCATAGCTTATGCCATTTGTTACTATATCCATAACATCACCTGCATCGAATAGATTATGTTCATTTTTCTTAGCTTGTGCAAACATAAATTCAATGTCGCCTGTATCATTGTTAAGTGTTATGCCGATAACCTGTGAATATCCGGAAGGATCTAATTGTAGTCGATGTTTTGTGTCCAAGTACCATCCATCGTCCGTTCTGGGTATAATAGACCAGCACAGTAAATCTTCTACATCGTACGTTGTCCACTGACGATCCTTTAGTAAATAGTACATACAGTAATCACGTTCATCTTCGAAATTTTCACCATCAATCCAACTTTTCCAAATACCTTCGAAAAAATAATATTGATACATCGAACTGTTAGGTGCCATTGCTTTCAAGTATTTGGATAGAAATTCATTGCCAGCACATTCCATATAGATCATATCGTGAGATGAACCAATAGTTGGCATGTGTGTAAATGGACTCACCTTAGATAATTGTAGAATATTTTTCAATAGTTCATCGAGCAGTGTCTCATGAAAATCGCTTAGTATCGGTTGACTCCTGGCTGTTCGGTTTGAGCTCGATGATATGATTCGTTTAGCAAACAAATCAGTTGAACGCATAATTAATGTATACAACAATTTATAAGCATACATTTGAACGTACAATGGCAAGTAATGTCTTGTAAACAGAAATATTTCCACTGATATGTCAAATATAATAGAACGATAGGCATAAACTTCTGCTAACGTACATTTCGGTTGACTAATTGCTTGAAAGAAGTATACGCACGACATTATTAAATTATTCATAAACAGTGTTCTACTGTTTGTTACAGCCATAATTAAGTCCATGTAGGAATATGCTGCTTGAACAGGGTCATTTTCGGCTAACCGCTTGAATATTGCTCGTTCATATTTTTTCAACATAATTAAACGTTCTGTTCGATTGAGAAATGTTAAGCTATTCATCATCTGTGTCGGTGGAGTTAGATCAGTTAGAGTTAATGAACATTGTTTAATATCATTCAATAATGTTCGACGTAATGTTGAATGGAAATGCGAATGATTCATGAATAGAATAAGACTATCAATGACATCATCATAGGGATGAGAAAGCAATGCATCGTGGGCACTACGCAATGATTTTTCAGCATCATTTTCGAGTTTGAATACGATCGCTTGTATTAAATAAAGTTTCGAACGATATTCTGACGGTTGAACTTCGGACAATTGCAAACGGCCGAGACATTGATGAAATAATTGTTTCAATTGTTCGAGAAAATAATTACTCGGATTGAGTAGTACTTCCGTCAGTTCTCGACACGATTTGTAAGTCGAAGATTTGAGTATTTCGAATATTTTAACATTTAACTTAGTTAAATAACATTGATTCAATTCTGTTAGATTACGTATCGATTCATTGGACAGACTTTCAAAAGGCAAAAGAATATGTGCTCCACCATTGATTAAACGATCAATATCGTTGGTTTCCTTGGCGAGTTTGACAAGTTCATTCAGGAGTAAAAGATGATATTTAAATAACACCGTATCTTTGAATATATTATCGGTTTCGTACATTTTAATCGCTGATAGGATGAGTGTACACACATTTCGATTTTCCTGTTTGGACAATAGAAGACATATGCTGTAAACTGTATTGTTGCATACTGTACTGTTCTTCTTGGACAAAATCTAAATGGCAGAAAACAAATTCTCTCAGCTTTTCAATTTAGTAAAGATCAATCGTGTTTTTTCATCGAATTTAAAGTTCTGAGTATCTCATTTTCATGACTCTGACATTATTATACCTGTATACCGTTTATTCGTAGCCGTTTATACACTACAATAGAATAGAGTAATGCAATTGATAATTGTAGAGAAGATGATTGAGCTTTTCGTAAGATAATTTGATCAACTTTCGTCGATTCACAAAATAGGTAACAATTCAATGCAATCTTAAATTTTCCGGTGTTGAAATATTGATCGCCCAATTGTTCCCAATTATAAGGATATTTCACGCCATCGAGTAGTTCATAGCCAACAGGATCAAAATTTTCAATACTACTAATAAACCATTCCGAATCGTTATTTCCATTGATATACTCAGCCATTTTATGGCATAGCAATGCTCTATAGTATTCTTTACGATCAACATGTTGATTTTTATATTCAACCCACAACGTATATTTATATAGATGACACACAACAAGTCCGATAACAATACGGTTTACATCAGATGTTGGTGTTTTACAAATATCAGTTAACAAATCATCTAACGAGAGTGTTATGTTATTAGATAACAATATTTTAGTTAGAAAATAAATATAACTATTAGTTGATGCCAAAATATCAATCCGCAACACATGATACAGATACGATAATAGATGTGCTAATTTATCAAACTGTTTTCGGCCGGCTAGTTGCTCACCGATCTGAATCCATTCATTGACTTGCATTTTACCATACAAATAGAAACAGAATATCGCAAGACTCCCATCGTATTTTGTATGAAGCAATAATTTTTCGCCTAATTCTTTCCAATTTATTCGATTGTCTCCAGTATATTTAACATGAAGATACAACAAGTACAATAAACATGTGTCACTATCATCGGCTGACTTTTGACTTGCAATTTCAAGCACTTGTTCAGCTGTCAATTTTGCACATTCATAACATAATAAAGCATAGACTGAACTATCTTGTAGTACTGCTTGTTCTAACCAAAATCGAGCAGTTTTCTGACATAAAGTCATGCAAGTAAATGCGTACGAGTATTGTTTTTTCGCATACAATTCAATCGAATATGCCAAATAGGTATCATTACTGATTTGTGCATATGTGAAACATTGAAGTGCCAACGAGTATTTGCCTAATTCATAATAATATTCTCCAGTTTTCTGATAGAATGATTGATTTTCATTGTTCTCGTAAAGATAAAGGAGTGCTAGATATTCACTTAAATATTTCGTACGATTTTTCTCTATGAGAAGTTTTACATAGGTGAATAAATGTTGATAGATGAGCGTTTTTTTCTCATCAGAACATTGGTGACAAATTTTTACTGGTATTGGTATATAACCTAGATGAGGGATTCGTTTCGATAGCAAACAATCAGCACAATGTTGATGGCCACACATGCGACAATAGTGACGGCGAGTAAAGAGAGAAAATGTTTTTCGACAATTTTGACAATGATCAGATACGATTTCATTTGGAGGAGGATTTTCTATTGGATGATAGAAATCATTTCTATCAATATATTTATTCGTCGTTATTGTTATATGATCGAATAGATAATAATAACCCGATGTAGTTCGTTGATCGTTATTCTGTATTTTTGAAAACAACCCTCGTTGTTCTTCTTGATCATATCTATCGAAAATAGTTTTTAATTGTTCTATTTCATCGATTTTTGGTAAGTAATCTATGATTACGGTTTGTGATAACAATTTAGGTAGCTTCATTAATTCGACTTTATCCTGTTCAAATTTATCAATAAATAATGTCCAATGTCGTTCGGGTTTACAAATAATTTGAATCGAATTTTTCAATTGTTCTATTAAATCCGGTACTTGATTCCATTCATCATGTGCATTCCATAGAGATAGATAAGTGGATGTTTTTTCCACGGCTTGCCAATTCCAAAGGTCTCTATCAATGATTTCTTCGAGAGTTATTAATTTCATTTGATCATTAAATAATCGTTCGTATGGTTCACGGTTTTCACGTTCATGCGCTTGCCTATTGAGACATGACTGACGGCACACGTTGCATTGAATGTAGGTATCGACTGTATCAATATCGATACTGGTATCGGTGGCGGCTCTTCTGATTATTTCGATGAGTTTCGCATTGAAATTATTTGAAAAAGATAAATTCGTGTATTCAGCTATGTATCGATCAATGCGTTGTCGGTAAATATCTGATATTTTTTCACCCATATGCAATCTAGAGAAGAAAAGAACAACTCACACGATCTAAGGATGCAATTATCTTACCTTATCTGATTAGTTTTTGATGTCGAGAATATTTCATCATCATTATTATCATCATCTTCATTGTTCTTATTGAGATCGGTGTCGGCATCATATTCCATTCGTCGTTTTTCGTCAGATAATGTTTCGTAGGCTAATTTCATTGATTGGAATACTCTTGTGGTATCAGCCGTAGTGTTTTTATCTGGATGGAATTCACGCGCACGACGAAAATAGGCCTGACGAATTTGTTCTTTAGTAGCATTTGGATTGACATTTAATAGTTTATAAAAATCTTTTTCATTAATATTGGCGAATGCACTAGAAGAAAATGACTTTTATCATTTGTCATCAACAATAGTTTGTTTTGCTGCAACAAAGGCAGATCATTTACCTGCTGCTGTAGGTATCATCATCATCGTCATCTGTTCTATACCCTTGTGCCGCTGCCATATTATTTTATCTGGAAAGAATACTTCGAAAATTCAGACGAAATAAAGTTTATTTTAGATAAGCAAGTATGTTACATTGCTTCTTATAGGTTGAAAATAGGCTGTTTCAGAGATAAAAGAGTCTTCTACTAGGCTTGTTATTTATTATTTTCATATGCATTTGTCGAAGTTTACAAACTAAATCGAGAGATCAAGATAATTACTGTAACATACGTATATATACGAAGAGATTTCTCACACAAATAAGAACAACATCTTTCTCTATGATGGATCTTATCTGTGGCGTATTATTCTGTTTTTCTTCAATTGATAAGAAACCACGAGCAGTCAGTGTGCGTGTGTTTTAGAAATGAAAGAGTAAAAATCAAACTTGAACTACATGCAAACAACAGATCATATTTTTTTTCTGAATCGCTCTTACCACGATAAAAGAACAAATTGCGATGCTGCGTGCTATGAAAGATCGGTCTTACTAATGGAAAATCAGATATACTTCCATTTGCTTTGTAGTCATTAGTTCTTAACTGAACTGTTCTGTTCAGTAGGATCTATTCCGTAAGAATCAATTTATTCATGTAATATTCAGAAAATTATATTCAATACGAAAAAAAATCCACACCCACACCCTTCTTTTTGTAAAATGTTTGATTCGATTTGAGAGTAATCTAAAAATATTTCCGACCGAAAATCTATAACACAATTGTAAAACGGAATGTTTTGATATCTAATTATTGTCATAAAGCACCGCACATGTAATTTAAAAAATGGTTTGTTCATTAAAGTCAATTTCTCATATAATTCAGCTATAAGGATGTATCTGGTGGAACGTCATATTTTCATTTGGTTGACCTTTTCGTGGCATAGATGATGCACCGATTATTCTCTATCATTGTTTTCCTTGCAAAGTAGGATCAAGGCCGTCGTATATGTACAATGGCCAAACAAATCTTTGTTTTCATGACCATTTTTTTATGTACGAACTGACCAATACTGTTTCAGAAACGTAAACATATGAAAAAATAGCCCACACAAAAAACAAATATTCATAAATTCGAAGAATGTTGTCCATGTTTATTCTTAACTATGTATTTACAAGTCTTCACGGATCTAAAGTAACAGTAGGTGAGAATATAAAACATCTTGCCAAAGATAATCGTCAGTAATTATATCTAGCATGCTGCCATCCAGCACAATGTTATAATGAAGATACTGATTAATGATTTCGTTTTATTAGATTTAGGACTAGTGTTGATCGTGGTGTAACTTGTTGGCTTGATTTACCAGATGAAATGCTTCTTCTTATATGCAGTTATCTATCACCAGGTCATGTTCTTCAGTCATTTTACACGCCATCAGAACCTACTGACCGTCTTCATCGTGCTATATTCGATTATTATACAAAGATAAAGCTTGATACGATGACAAATGATGAATATCTCTGCTTAATGAACCTATTTTGTGATCACCATAAATCTCTCCGCTTTGAATCATTAAAATTTTGTGGTCAACGCTTCACCTGTTTAACACAACGTTTTTTTCATGATATAACGATGGGCATATATGGATCCTTATTTGGCTGTGCAAAACATCTTACAATAATTGATTGTCCATCACGAAATATTTCAATCATTTGTAGACACATCTCCAAATAACTTAACGCCAACTTCATATAAAATCGGGTACGTCTGTTTTATAAATTATCTTAACATAAAGTTTATTTGCCATCATAAATGAATGGATATCATATTTATCCTGCTTTCATCTTCTTTTATTAATGAGTGAGTTTCGAATCAACAGAAAAATAAATTGAACAATTTTATATTTCATAATTTAAAAACGATTTCATCTTGTTTAGATGCAGACGTGTATGTAACAGTTGATAAATCTGTCAATGAATTATTATTTGATAAAAAAAAAACTATCGTCTTTAAAAACTGTCTTAATTGATGTTGTCGATGGACTTATTTTAAGTAAATCATTAACACCTCATGAAAATCTTCGGAATATCAATTTTACTTTACAAACTACTGATGATTTCAAGTTGGGCATATATGGATGATTTATATATATTACTCGACGGACTGGTACCCGATGCAGAAACGATGATTATTCATTTACGCAAGCCAAGAATACTCAGTAAGTAAATGCAACAAACGACAAAGAGTCTCTATCAAATTTATGTAGAGTACAACATTGATTTTATTATATTTGCATTCCTCCTAAAATCATATCATCACGTACTAAATTAACTGAATTTACATTATTGGAATCTCGTATTGGAATTGTTGTTGATAATATAAACTGTGTTCTTGGTTGTATGCCGAATCTAATTAAGTCAACGTTAAGTATTCGAGATACACATGATGTAATATTGTCTAATGGTCCTATGTTTGAATCAATATTAAATGAATATGTTCCATATTTTCGTCAATTTGATTATACAATGACACATGGAATTGTTGATTCGACATCAGTTCAAGATTTTATTAAATGGCCAATGGGTGTTGTTTTGTATGAAAATGAAAATTGTAAATGGTGGGTCGAATCTGTCGGTAAAATCCGATGTGAAACGAAGTGAATATATGGAGTGTGTAATGATTACAACACACGATGAATTCATATAATTGAAAACGCATTTGCGTCGAGCACATCAACTAGCAACTTGTTTACTAATTGATGTTGAACTATCGAAACGGTTTTCAAAAGTTACTCTAACAGAAAAATCTCGTAAGATGATATTATAAAGTAAAGCACAGCAGAAAACAAAATTTCAGCACTTTTTCGTCAATTTCCAAATGTTAAATGTTTAGAATTATTATTTCCTCGAGATAAACATTCATATAAGCGCTGTTTGCAAAGTCTATTTAGTCGGGATAAACGTACTGAACATAAATATTGTTTTTGGTCTAAATTATTCCATTTTTCGACAGAATTACTTCTTCATCAACTAGGTGCCATTTGGAATGATGAAATGTTGAAGGAATGGATTATTCAAAATACGGATTTAAAATATCATGATCATCGGTTTTATGTTAGTTTTTTGCTTTCTAAAATATCAATATGGTTTTAAAAATTATTTGAATATCGCTCGGTACAAAATTGAGAGACCTAAACTATCTATGTACATAGTATTGCTCATTTCGTTATTGTCTTATTTGTTATGATAAATTTATTTGATGTTGTGAATTAATTCTGATATAATAGAAAATAATTAGATTGATTTTTTGTCTTTTTGTTCTATAGAAATAATTTCGTATTAAAATAAGGTAGATAAACAGCATTTTTAGATAAGCAGAGCATCACATGAGAAAACTTATCAGTATCAATAAACTTATGACTCTTTTGCTTTCTCTTAGATTCATTCAGTGCTTTGAACGAATGATTTACTAGAACAAACTGACTGGTGCCTTTAGTCATTGATTTATATAATGTAATAGTGTACTCATAATTTTTGCCGTGATAATATAGAAAGTACAATTAGGATGAATCCCCAGGTCGACTGATCCGACATCGGATCCGATAGGAATCTGGAAATATCCTACAGTCCGATACAATTCTATTGGATTGCGGGTTGAGGAATCGATGTCGGATCCTCAGTGTCGGAATCCTATGAACTTCCGATGGCATATAACGGTTTTTCCTTGGAATTCATAGGAATCCGACACTGAGGATCCGACATCGATTTCTCGACCCGGAATCCAACGATAATTCTGTAAGATCTGACAGGATCCGATAAAGCCCTATTGGATTCCAGTCGGATTGGATGGGTTCCGATAGGTGACTACTGTCGGATTGCTCGACCTGGGTCATGCAATCCTAACCCGATTCCAAGATCTATCTTGAGGGTGTGGGTGTAAATGTCTGCTTATCATCCACACACCGTCACCCACATCCTTTCTATTATTGCTCTCATTCAAAGCATCAAAATTTGCCGAATGCTTTGCATTCTAACATGCAACTCGATGGATTCATAGGCTCTCTCTTGGATATTTTAATTTTCCTTTATATTATCGCTTAAGCGTTCCGGAGTGTTACATTAAAGAGCAAAATAAGAAAAATTACACTTTCAGATTGTAAATCATGTTTCGTACAATGCGTTGTAAGTCATGACACATGTGGCACATTTTATCTAGGTACGTGTGACGAACAAATACTGGCGGAATACTATTTTACACCTTGTATGACTCATTCTTATATTATTGATACCCCAACAATAGCAACTTTAATGTATTCATAGACACACTTTCATTTCTTTTAGTATACTTCAAAGGTTTATTTTCTGGTTTTGTTTGACAGTGAGTACTTATGATCGATCAATCTTTTGCATTTTAGCTAGAATGCTTAATCATAGGTTTTGCTTTTAATCGTCATTTTTTGAGAACACACATATACAGTATAAATACTTTAGAATTATTACAACAACATTATGTCTCGTTTTACATACATATATTTATTTGCGCAGTGTCTATGTGGCGCAAAAGAGTAAATGTTTGATTTGAGTTCGAATATGATATTAATTCGCCAAAGTATATAAACGAATCATTTAGTCAGAAAAAATAATAGATTTTTTTCTGAATTATAATTGCAATTTCATTACGAACTTTCGTTCGAAAATAGCCAAAATAGAAGTATGCTCTGTGGGTAATATAACTATTACCTTACAACAAAAAATGTTTTCCACATCAACCAAAATTTTAAAGAATGAGTTAATCGATCGAAACCTTACCTATCTATCAAAGTAACTAAATCATTTATCTAAACAGTCGTATCTTCGGACATCGATGTTTTTGCCGTCTCTGTATCAAAACAACCTTCATGAATACAAATTTTATAGTTCTAATTAGTTTACAAAAAATCCATTCATTGTGAGAGTCCTTTAACGATCATCTATTCAATAATTATATGATTAGATTGAAATTCGTGATAGGAATAATGTTCTATTTTTGAAACTTATAAAGCTAATTTTCTCTTGTGAACAGATATGTTTTCATGGTTTCGTCAAAACAACTCGTCTGCTGCTAACCCAAAGCAACGATTGTTGGGTACAGCAGAAAATGCTCTGATGCAGACGTCACGACAGAATCAACGCGAGATGAAAGTTGGTGAAGTCTTGCATCTTCATGGGTCTCACATTTCTCTAGAGAGATTGTCTGCGGCTATACGCCTCCTGCAGCGTCGTCATCCAGTGCTACGAAGTCGTCTTCAACATAATCCTAAAATACCAGATACCTATCTACTAGAAGAAGATGACACACTTCAACTTACAATTCGAGGAATACCGCGAAAGCGTGCCAATCATCTGAACTTTTGGCGTCAAGAATGGAGTGAGCGTGAAAAAACAGATAACCGATATTGGCCAAGGACTCGTTGAATTTTGGCTTCTACAAATAAAAGAAAGCGGATACCCGTTCTTCAAATTGTGCTTCACACTTCTAATAGAGTTAATAGATGTATCGTGTCACTATTTATTATTTTTTAGGATCCAGATGATGACAATAGTCCACGGGAAATAGTAGCCATATTTGAACACAGTGTCTGTGACGGCTTATCATTGAGTAATGTGGCACATGAGCTCCTTATAGCTTTAGCTGGTGAAAATGATAATATGTTTACTAATTCATTAGATTGGCCAATACCTATGGAGATGGCGATTAAAAGAAGGCTTTCATTAGTCGCGAAACTGGTTATATTCGGCAGAGCTATGTTCGCAGCCATAAACTTGGGCGCATTCAATACACGAAGCACTGCAAGAATACCGATAGCCAACGTTGACTTTCCATTAGCTGACATGTGTAATTACTGTCATACTGAAAGCTGCTGTGGTATATTGAGCAAGGATGAAACGCAAAAGCTAGTCGATAAATGTCATCGCGAAGGCGTTACCGTAACAGCTGCTGTAAGCAGTGCCATTATATGCACTATTTCCACAGTAGTAAAATCTGAAGAAAATTACCCATCGACACTACGCATGTCCGTGTCAGCTGATGTTCGTAGACGGTGTGTACCGCCCGTCTCCAATAACGATCTTAGTTATCAAATATCATGTATTATACCAATTCCAATACCTACCGTAAATATATCAACGACTCCCAGCAGCATGTGGCAACTCGCAAAAGTATTCGGACACTACGTCAATATGTCAGTTGATACCGGCCAAGTTCTTGCTCTTGGTATGATATTGGGGAAAATCTTTCAGAAAATTTTAGGTCAACAGAATTTCGCCGAACTACCCACTTGTGGTATCTCTAGCTGGGGTGTAATTGCCATTTTCTGAACATTATGAACAATGGAAACTAGTAGCAATGACTCCATTCTTTAACATGATTCGAGGAGCCATGCCGTTCATTACATTACAAACTGTCAATGGGGTCTTAACAATCGTATGGACTGCAGCCGATTCTCTTATTCCACTAAACATTTTGGAAAGCTTACGTGATGATACTATGCAGACATTACATCAAATGATCGATGAATGGTATATTGACTATTCGTGTTCTCTTCAAGAAAAATGTTTTTAGATTAAGAAATAAATTCTGCAATCAGTTTTTGATTGCTTAGCCATTTTATTCTAGGGGAAACAACTGTACATCTTGCTCTGCTGATACTTCGTTTGTATCTGATCACGTATAAGCCTCATATGTTTGTATCTGGGCTGTCTTGATCTTTTTATGCTTAGTTTCAAAATTATTGTTCTATAAGGGAAAGTAAATTATGGTTCGTAGCATCGTCATAATTACAGTAAGATTATGTTGAGAGTTAAAATTTCAACTAGCATCATTCAGTAATTATTTTGAAGAAAAGTCAATAAAATCGATTACAATAGTTCTTTCTTACATAGTACATCGATTTTTGTAAGATGCGTCTACCTAACAATTGTGACGATTTTAGATAGAAGAAATTCCTGTGCTGATGGTATTACATTTTATTTAACTCTTCAAATCATAAATCGCATTGATTACATATAAAGCACACGCTTAAATACTCAACCATTTGAGAGAACGAAGGAGAAGGATAGATAAAGACAAATGTAAAGGACAGAAAGATAAAGGCAATAGGTGTGATGAGAATAAATGGCACCATAAGACCAACTATTATGTATAGGTTACACTCGAACGAGAGCATTACACCCCCGGATGGAATTTGGACGCTCTCCGCACATAATGTTACAACAATACTCTAAGATTAGATAATTATTTATGTGATTGATGTCGACTAATGTGATATCATAAGCAGCTTGGGCAACATCGAAACGGATCCAGTTTTTTTCTTATTATTCATGGATATACTTCGAATATTTAGAAATTGAAAAAATGTGGAACATGCTTAGCTTTTCTTTGGAACCAAATATACATGCCTGAACTTAATTAAAGTTTTTATTTGCATTGCGTATAAATGAAGTGAGGAAATATTCGACTGATTTTGGTCATTTTCTATAATGAACCATTTATAACACACTTTCTCTGAATAAATTACAACACGAAGTAATCGCCATGCCGAGGAAGAAACATAAAAGAAAAACTTTTAGAATAATTACGCTGTTATTTTAATATGAAGAAAAATGAAACAGCGGTCACAAGAAGATACAACTGGACCCTTAAAGTTATGTAACTAACATTATAAGACCTAAGTTAAGTGCACATTGAGTCAGTCTTATTCGCAAAAATGTCTGACGAATCATCAGAAGATACTATGTGATTCCTGTTATAATTCTATGATCCTTTATATTCAGTCCTCAGCGCTCAATCAAGATGTATCATCGTGAATGTTTCAGTTATTTTAACGACTCACAACTTCGTCAACTATGAAATATCAGATTAATTTTGTTGCTTTTTACTACATATCAGCATTTAAAGAAGCATTATCTCGTCCGCAAGTCACAGATCGAATGATGATTTATAATTTGTTTCACATGATTGTATCCTTTCAGTAGCGGGTTACCAACGCTTACATAGCTTTACTTGTTAGCGACTTAGTTAATTTCTCTGTCTGACTTTGTGGGGAGTGGTGATCTGGATATGAGTTCAAATTTCTACCCTATATACTTCAACACTCCGTTTAGATCGTGTTTCACAAAAGCACGGGAATATCTTGTTCTTCATTCAAGCTGAATATGAATCTGCGAAATTGCACACATTACGTTTGCTCTGTTTCGAAACAAAACACGATTGATGTTTTTGTAGAAATCTGTATGAACTGATAACATGAACAATGTCAAAAGATATGGAGGTAGTATTCTGACCATTTGCTAACCAGCTGGAGCGACTACTTCCTGTTCCAACATGATGACAATATTACGTATAGTCTCTTACTGCTTTATTAAACAGCAATGTTTTAAATCATCAACCGAGAATCTAAACTCCATAATGTCTGAGCAACACTCTATGGCAACATATATCCAATTGACGATAACGGATTACATAGGTTACTGTTGCATGACCGAATTTTGTAATTCTACTGAGGTAAATTGGACGAGTCTACTATTTGTGATGACGATGGCAGTATTTGGTCTTCACATGTGCTGAACTGCATTATCGTTTCGATTGATGCTTTTATTTTATAATCTGTTCTCACTTCATTTGATACTGGAGTCCTAAAATCAGACCCGATCCTTGGATAAGCCTGAGTTTCTTCTCCCCATACAACCATCCAATTCCTATCAGGTTCTCATGATAGATATGAAACTAAATATGTGAAAAGACTCCCAGTACATGTTATCAAAGCATATCAAGCTGGGGTCTGATATTCTACATGCTGACACAATTAATTGTTCATTTTTAAAACATGAGTAACGCCATGACGGCTCTATATAACTCATTTTAGATAAATATACAGATTAAATACTCAAAATAAAACGCTACGAGAGATAAGCTTCGTTTTACAAGTATTGATAATCTTTTCTTCTTTCTATATTGTCAAAAACTATTTCAGCATACTTCGTGGAGAACGCAAAAATTTACGAAATACGCGTTGACTAATCACAAAGCCAGTAGAAAAAAACACTGCCGGTACTGGGATTTGATGATTTTGTTCATTTATGTTGTCATAGTGATGTGTGAAAATGAATAATTTC